TAAATGCTTTATTACTACTATTGGTTAGTAGTTTATTATTCATCATTTTCATGACGAAGGATAGTTTCGAAAACTTCTTGCATCCCGGATATAGAGGACAGTTGGCATCATTGATTAACCTAGCTAAATTGCCAGAAAGATTTGCTAAACAAGGATTATTAGCTAAATTGAAGGAAAACTTCCAGCAGTAGCTCGGGCTAAATCATCCAGCATATCAGGAATGTCAGTATCTATCACTTCAATTTCATTCTCAAAAGGAGAATGCGGCTGGTTTGTGTTGCTATTGCTGCCAACCTCAAATGGCTCGCCATGATGTATCCATCTAGTATATGTCTCCACCATGCCATGCCTAAATTTCTCACTTTTCACCGTGCTTAGAACTTTAAAGTAGCAATTATTGCACTTTTTACACGGGCATCTTATTCTACCAAGTTCATCAACATGGTTAGTTGAAACCCTTATAAATTCCTCAACCCCCGCTATATATTCTTCAGAAAATCTATTCTTTAGCTTCATCCAATCTTTGTTCATTTTCACTATGCAAAAAGATAAGACTAACCTTCACTACTGGGCTGTTTTGGGAGTTCCTAGATCACAGTGAAGAATGTCGAAATCACCTGCACATATAAGACCCATTCAACATGAGCAAACCTATTACTTTCAACTCCTGAAAAAGTTGTACTTTTAATGACTTAACACATGTAAAACAGAATGTAAGGATCAATCACTCCCTATATTCAATTAAAAACAAAATTGGAACAGAAGTTCTTTAATTTGGCTCTTATATTAACTTCCCTCTCAAATCAGGGCCAAAGAAAGGATTCTAAGGCCAGCCCCATGTATGTTGCACTTACTTCATCTTTATTTATTACTTGGCAGTTTTTAAAGAGGCAAATTCACCCTCACATATGTTTTCAATCATCAAATCAATCTCTAGAAATAGATTGAGCAAGAATCTAACACAAACTCACTTTGTTTAATAGAAAAATCAACACAATGACCCTAAAACAAAGATTTCACCAATCTAAACCCATACACACATACATAGAAGCACTTATGTCTCGAAGGGAATTCACACAACCAAGAAAGCACAAACATGTGAGAACAAAATCATAACCAGCCTTGCCTCTTGAAAAGCAAACTCATGTACAAGGAGGATGATGATGATATCAGCGTCCTAAACAAATGAGAACGGTACAAAAACCTTTGACAGAGGAACGAGGAGAATGAAAGAAGGATGTTGTTTCATACCAACTAAGAACTCCGAAATCAATTTGATGCCGGTAATAGCTTCCTTTCTATCACGATTCCTTGGCGAGCGATTTAGTAGGCTCGAGTCTGTGGAGGTGTACGAAAGGGTTAGAAGGAACATCGAAGAGAAAGCACAAGCGGTAACATCCAAAATAAAAAAAAATTGCATGCACAGAAAATCCTTTGATGCAAAACAGAGGAAATTGAAACAGGAATTCGACTACTTACATGCGCCAAAACCAATCCGTCGTCAGAGTAGCCTTCCGAGATACTCGATTCCCTTCCCGGAATTGACTGGTCACGAGCCTTTTGGGGAGACAAAAGGGTTTAACCAAAGTAAATTTTGTGGGCGTAAGGGTTTCAGAGAGGGAAGGAAAAGGGAGACTTCGATCGTCTAATGAAGTGGTTTTTTTTTGTTTTCTTGATAGAATAATGAATGCCTGTTAGCAAAACGACATGGTAAATGAAATAATGTATTTTCTTTTGCCCTTTGTATTAATGAATGATGATTTGGTAAAGAAAATTTGTAGCGAGACCCCCATGACTTCCAGTCGTAGCGGCTGATAGTCCGATTCAAGTCAAATTAACCCGTTAAATTAACCTAACATCCCCATTTTGGGTTATGTATAATGTACAATTTAACCGATTAGGACTCGAGTTTGTGCAATTGCATATAATACTCTAAGTTTAGGCGATTAGATGTTGAGTATGTCCCTTATAGGTTTACAGTTCAACGCCTATGAATTGAGATTTTGAACTAAATTAGTGTTTAATTTAGAGTTGCAGGTAAATGATTTACTGACGATTAATTGTCATATTAAATGAACACCCAACACTTAATGATATTTTAATAATATAGTATACTCTTCATATTAACTCCTATGAATAGTTAATTTGACAATCTATTTTGTCATTTTAGACGTTTCATTCTTCCCTCCACTATTTCCCGCCATTACTAAATTCATATTGTGACAAATTTGCAAACTGTCATTTTAATGATCAAGTACACTCTTCATATTAACTCCAATTAATAGTTAATTTGACAATCTATTTTGTCATTTTTGACATTTCATTCTTCCCTCCATTATTTTCATGCCATTACCAAATTCATATTGTGACAAATTCGCATACTGTCATTTTAATGATCAAGTACACTCTTCATATTAACTCCAATTAATAGTTAATTTGACAATCTATTTTGTCATTTTAGATATTTCATTCTTCCCTACATTATTTTCCCGCCATTACTAAAGTGATATTGTGACAAATTCGCATACTGTCATTTTAATGATCAAGTACACTTTTCATATTAACTCTAATTAATAGTTAATTTGACAATCTATTTTGTCATTTTAGACATTTCATTCTTCCCTCCATTAGTTTCCCGCCTTTAATAAATTCATATTGTGACAAATTCGCATACTGTCATTTTAATGATATAATATACTCTTCATATTAACTCTTGTGAATAAGTAATTTGTTAATCTATTTGGTCATATTAATCATTTGTCATTTAATAATTTCATTTTTCCTTCATAAGTTCCTGCCAAATTGATATTATCAATAAACATAATATGACTCATCATGCTTTGTCATATTATATCATCTCCTCTGCAGTTGATGTTGGACATTATGACAAAACAACTTGTCACAAAAGCTATCGACATTATGACAAACCCCTAATTTTCCACATAATACAGCCCACATTTCCCCCAAAACCTCCTGCCAAAAAGCCTTCTCATCAACACACTATTACGACAACGAGACTTGTCACATGAAACATCGTATGCTATGTAATGTGACAACATAAAATATGACAATAAATGTTGTTAGATTATATTGTTCTATTGTCATCCCATCGAGATTTTTATGACAAATTACCAATGACAAAAAGATTTTCATCATAATAAAATGTTAATGTGACGCATGTAAATGACAAAAGAATAACTTGTCACAAAAGATATGGCAAATATGACAATGGTTCTATTTGTCATATATGGTAATATATTGTGACAAAAGATAAATGACAAAATAAAATAATTGTCATACTAGACCAAATTTGTTGTAGTGTCTATATTACGCAGATCCAGCAAAATAGAGTTAAGCTGTTCGAGATGTTCCCTCAAAGGCGTACCTTCTTGCATCCTCAAGCTGAACAACCGTTGCTTGAGATGCAGCTTGTTGGTTAGAGACTTCGTCATATACAGACTCCAGTTTCAACCACAAGCACGCGGCAGTCTTCTCAGCAGCGACTTCAATGATGACGTCATCAGAAAAAGATAGCATGATGGTCGAGTGGGCCTTCTCCTCCTGGGTATCCCACTCATCGTCATCGACCGCTGCCTTCTTCTGTTTCGCAGATAGCAGCCCCCACAGCCCTTGCTGTTTTAATAAAGCCTGCATCTTGATCTGCCATATAGCGAAGCTGTTCTTCCCCGTGAACTTTTCGATCTTCATGTTCACCGACGTCATTCTTCTGAATCGAAAAAAAACCCTAGCCTGATTTCCAGCCGCGGCTCTGATACCACTTGTTATAAACGCGCTGCTACGGATCGGGAAATCGCCGAAATCGACAAAGTAAGAATACGAAAGCGAGAATCGAAAAACACAGTCACACGATTTACGTGGTTCACTAACACGATGTGTGTTAGCTAGTCCACGGGCGACAGAGAGTCAGTTTCACTATATCGAGGAGATTACAGATTACAGAGGAGTATGAGAAGTATTTATAGTACTTCTCCATGTGGGTCTAAACCTAATCCAATCTGGCAAAGGAAACGGTTACAGACCAGGCCCAGAACCCGAACCCAAATAACATTGAGCCCCCGATTACCAATCGTAGCGGTTGATAGTCCGATTCAAGTTATATCAACACAGTCATTATATTTTGAGTCATATTCACCTTTTTCACAAAAAACTGTGCCATTTGTTTCTTCTGTTTCTTTCTTTGCTGGTTGATCTACATCGCTATCATTGAACCTAGCTAGGCAACAAGTTCTTTCCGAACCCAACTCTTCCGCAGCGTTCCAATTTTATCGGATGTCCCCGAAAGGACCCGAACCCAACTGATCCTCCGCTTCCACCTCCTTTACTTTCGCATCCATCGCTAATAATCTACATTTACAAATATTGTATTTACATATTGTTCAATACTCATTCCACCTTTCTAACTCAAGGATGGGAACAAAGAGGATACAATATTCTAAGATGAACCATGAGCTCCTCCGTTTCTTTCCACCATATCCCGCCGAACTTCTGGGTTGGACCAGCCGGCCGGCAGTCCTTGGAATGATTTGGCATCGCCGGCACAAATTAAAATGGTAAACGCCAGAAAAGAGTTTAATTTCCTGCACTACGGCTGCACCGGTAACCCTTGGAAAACGGCATCAACGTGAAAGTGACAACATCTCCCGTCACAGAATAACAGGCAAAAACAGCACCACCGCCCTTTCGAATGCTTCAATTAGTCTTCTACTCGTCACAGAATAAAAAGTGAAATTGTTAAAGACAATTTTTTCCGGTGCAACCTCCGATACGATTTTTTCTAACTCTTGGAAAATACGCACTCAGATAAGAAAATCAGGTTGCAATTGCTATCAACAAAGCTTTGCGAGCTGCGGTAGCATTGGCGACCATAATGATCATTATGGCACGTCCTTCGGTACAGGTATTGGTTTACATTACCAATCACTTAACCGAGAAAATATTGATTGTGCATTGTCGATCCAGAGACGACGACCTCGGAGCCCATGCTGTCGCCGTCGGGGCAACCTTCCACTGGAGCTTCAATGATAATTTCTTTGGCAAGACACTTTTCTGGTGCAAACTCGCGGTTGAAGATAAGCGTATTTCTTTCGTGGCGTACGAGGCACACGTCGAAACTTTCGGGCAATGGGTTGTTCGTGATGATGGAGTTCATGGGACGCCCTTTCGTCGTCCGACCTTTTTGAAGGCTGGATGGAGGCGACCATAAATATATAATTCATGGATTTGTCGTCAGCATAGTGCCTTTTATCAGGTGGTATTGTATTCAAAGATATTGTAATTGAATGATATAGATGTTTATCAAACTGAAATAGTAATGACGTTGAACACTGACACCAGATTTACGTGGTATCCCGGGAGTGATCCAGAATTAATCCACACAAGAGTTCTGAACACTCTTCTACCTACTGATCGTATTAAATTGTATGTCCACTTACCGCCACCATCTCTACAATATATACCTCGCACAGAAGGAAGAAGAAGAAACCCTAGGGTTACCCACTACTCACGTCCAGGCACCCATGCATAGGTCTAATAGGCTCACGTACATGGATCGTCTATCTAATGGGCCTCGTACTAATACGTAACTATGTATAAAAAATATACAGCCCACAAATACAGACCCCGCTAACAGCCTCCCCCAAATTGATGTTGTCCACAAAGCATCAATTTGCTCGAGAGGTACCAATGTCGACTTGGAGAGAAAGCCTTCGTGAAAATATCGGCAACCTGATCTTCTGTGCGGACATAATGAATAGTAATAGTACCATCCCCAACCAGATCCCAGATGTAGTGGACATGGATCTCGATGTGTTTGGTGCGATCACGAAGAACCGGATTGACAGCAATCCTAATAGCGCTCATATTATCCACAAAGAGATCCATAGGTAGAGTACAATGGATGCCCATATCACGGAGAAGACGACGTAACCAAACAAGTTCAGAAGCCACATCAGACATAGCGCGATATTCAGCTTCAGTAGAGGATTTGGAAACCTTATCCTGCTTCTTACAACGCCAGGATATAAAAGCTGAACCAAACTGAACTGCCCAACCAGTAGTAGAGCGGCGAGTATCAACGCACCGAGCAAAATCAAAATCAGAATAAGCTCGGAGGGTAAAATCGCGAGAAGAAGGAAAGAACATACTAACATCGCGAGTGCCCTGAAGATACCAGAGAATGCGATGAACAGCAGCCAAATGATCAGTGCAGGGAGATGACATGAACTGACTAACTACCTGAACAAGATAAGAAAGGTCTGGACGAGTAGCCGCGAGATAAATCAAACTCCCGACGATACTCCGATGATTAGCCGCATCCGGAAGGGAAGAACCAAATGTGCAACTGAGCCGAAGATTGGGTTCCGTGGAGACAGGCTTGCAATCATGGAACTGATGATCGGATAGTAAGTCAGAAATGTACTTACGTTGACTAAGAAGAATGCCTTTTATCAGGTGGTATTGTATTCACAGATCTTGTAATGGAATGATATAGATGCATTTTTAGTTTTTTCTTACCGATTTAAGTTATTGAGATCAATAAATTTATAACGTAGATTCGAAGTCTAATTGTTGAGATTTTTTTGGAGAAAAAAGTGTGACGTTTTCCTACCTATGTACTTTGCCCATATATGTAACTAAAGCCTTCATATAAGTAAAATCCCTACGTACACTACAAGAAAACAGTAATGTATCGTCGGGTTTTTCCTGCTTTACCATCGGTTTTATATGCCAACGGTCAGATAACTCACATATTCCTTAGCAACTCTGTCTTGTCCCCTTTCTCTTTCTAGTTTTCAAACTCTCAGCCTTCTCTCTTCAACTTTTTCAACATTCTCCATTTGGGTGCGTCTTCTTCCTTGTTTTTTTTTTTTTTGCTTTATCTGTAACTTTGTCATTGATTTATAATGAACTAATGCTTCTGTATATATATATATATATATGCCAACGGTCAACCAAAACCGTCAATGAAACTGGCGACACTAAGATTTTTGTGGCGGTTTTGGCAACCTGTGGGAATGTCCGACAGGAAAATTTAGTGTCGGATAAACACCGACGGTTAAAAACCTCATCCGCCGGGACAAGCTATGGTGCTAATCCTATAGGGGGTTAGCACCGTCCTAATAGTCGTGGTAGTGTTTTTGCATGGAAGTTTTTTGTAGTCTTTTTTTATTGATCGCTTGTGTTGTTAATATGTAGGGTCTGTAGTAGTTTGATGTGCAGTAATGGTCGTGTTTCTGGTCATAGTTGTCTTGGGACTATGTAGTTTCGTCAATATTGAGGTGCAATATATTGGTAGTAGTGGTTAATAATACGTGTGTAGTGTTTGTATGAATACGTGTGTAGCGTTTTTGAGGTTAGCAGGTGCTAACGGGGTATGGGGTTAGCATCCCATCCCACCCGCCAGCAAACTCGTAAGCTGGGTCGCCATATTAATCGACAATAAAAGAAGCAGCCACGAGATGTTTAATCTTTAGTAACCAATAGGAATTAGGAACCGACCTTTTCCAACAAAACTGCTGCAGGTAAACTTCGAAAATTTCCACTATTACTTAGCTATCTATCATACTATAATCCTCGATCAAACACTTATATACTAATAATTCCCAATCACAATTCATTCATAAAAAAAAAAACAACTTCTACTCAAACTCATGAACTCTTAACAACATTCATCTTATAAACCCAAAGTAAAGCTCGGGTCACAATACATTGCACAAATCAGAGTTCAAGTTGCACCAAGTAGAAAAAAATCAAAGTAAAATAGAGTTCGTTTTACTCCTCGAACTAATTTGACGTATTTGTTTGGTTTCTTCAGCTGTTGCCAGTGTTGATTCCTTGCCCAAAAATTTGCCATCGATGAAGCCTGAGCGCCCCCGTTTCTCTCCACCTCTCTCTCTGATCTCTTCTGAGTTGGACCGGCCCGGCCGTCCGATTTGGAATGAGTTGGCATCGCCGGCAAAATTTAAAAAGGTAAGAGTAAGAAAGAGTTTCCTGCATGCACCGGTAACTCTTGGAAAACGGCATCAATTGCATATGCCGAAAACGACAACATCTCCCGTCACAGCATATGAAGCAAAAGCAGCACCGGCCGGCCTTTCGAATGCTTCAATTGATCTTCTACTCTTCATCACATCAAGTACTATAAAACAGGAATTGGCATTGATCGATAACGAAAAATTCACACTCAGACAGTTATGGTTATCAACAAAGCATTGCTAACGGCGGTAGCACTGTCGACCACAGTGATCATTATGGCACTTCCTACGGTCCAGGTATCGGTTTACATTACCAATCAAGTGACCAGAAAAATATTGATTGTGCATTGTCGATCCAAAGACGATGATCTCGGAGCCCATGCGGTAGCCGTTGGGTCTAGCATCCACTGGAGCTTCGGGCCGAACATCTTTGGCGCCAGGACAGTTTTTTGGTGCAAACTCGCGGTTCAAGATAGGCGTATTTCTTTCGTGGCGTACGAGCAAGGCCGCGTAACCTACGGAGACTGGGTTGTTCGTGACGATGGAGTTTATGCGAGGCCCTATGGTCATCCGATGTTTCTGCAGGCTCAATGGACGCGACCATAATATAAGCCGCATGGATTTCTCGTCAGGAGAGTGCCTCTACAAGGTGGCAATATTGTATCCACAAGGTTTTGTAGTGGTATGATATAATATATGCAATTTTAGCTTTAATTTTGTAACGATTTGAGTTTCTGAGACCAATTAATTCATGATATTGTATCGAAGTCGTATTTACTAAGAAATGTTTTGTTCAAATGCTCTTTCGTAAATGAACCCTAAAGCCATATGCCCAAATGGCCTAATGCTTGTGAAAATACTGACATAGACCCAGGGGCGGAGCTACACATAGTCTCGGGGGGCCCCCGGCCCCCCCGAGAATTTTGAAAGTTACGTATAAACAATATTGGTATCTGAAAATTTCGTATAAACTATAGAGCATTTATAAAAATCAAGTGTTCAAAACTTGAACAAGAAATGAAGTTAGCCCAGCGGATTTGAATGATGTAATTCATCCTTGAGATGCTGGGTTTGAAACCCACTGCATACAGGAGTTATTTGGTTTTTCTCTTTTCAGTTTTAGTAACTCATCTTCAATTCTTCATGTAGGAATTAGTGGTTTTGACTTTCATAAGTTCTAAACTTGGTATATTTTGGTTTCTAAAATCTTGTACCAAGAAATTAGAACTAAATTCTTCAAATTTCAATTTTAAAAAAATACTTTTGAGTTACTCTAATAATAATAAAATATGGTTATACTAATATTAAAAATATATATTTTTATCGCCGTTTTGAAGTAACAGAATACAAAATTTCGGCCCCCCCGAACTTGCAATCCTGGCTCCGCCCCTGCATAAACCGGATATGAGGTAGGTATTCAGATGAAGAACAAAAAGGGTCATCTGATCCCTTCCCAAAATCTTCTACCAAATTTGTCAAGTAAAAAAACCTATAAACTCCTTCATTTAAGCAACATTTTCATGTATAGAATATACCCACACACCAACTATATGATCATGACCAAGCAGCAGGCGGTTAGCCGCAACTACAAATCACTAGCGGCCGACCATGTTAATAATTATGGCTCGACCTTGGATCCAGATGACGATTAATGTGACGACGATCTCACTTTTTTGAACAAGAACATAGAGGAAATATGAGCCAGGTGCACTAGAACATCCCGCTAGTAGGGATAGAAAACAGATCACAATTATTCGTTCGAACTGGAAACCGGATCGTATAACCCGATCCGATTGCAACCGAAACCAAATCCTAATATGTTTTCGTATGGATGTCTACCATCGGGATGTCATGTCATTACTGACTACTGGGTCCTCTGGTGCTTTCACTGCCTTCACTTCCTTCCGCAACATCTCTAATATTGTCTACTTATTCACAAAATATTATACTCAGATATCCATTAAGTCAAATAATTATTCTACATATTTACAGTATTTTAGAATTAAAGTGAATTATTCTTCAATTTATGTAATTAATATACATAATTTTATACTTAAAATTAATTATCCACTAATCTAAGTACTTAAAATATACACATTTACACAAATGTAAACATAAATTTCAATTGTACACCAATTTACGTAATTAATATACACATATACTCATATGTATAATTAAATTTAATTACCCAATATCTACATACGTACTTAATTAATCTGCACAATTAGATTAGACAATATTTTAAGATGAACCATGAGCTCCCCCGTTTCTCTCTACCACCTGCTGATCTCTTCTGACTTGGACAAGCCCGGCCGTCCGGTTTGGAATGATTTGGCATCGTCGGCGAAATTATAAAGGTAAAACTATGACAGAGTTTCCTGCACCGCTAACTCTTTTCTCTTGGAAAACGGCATCACCATATGCCGAAAATTGACAACATCTCCCGTCACAGAATAACAAGCAAATGCAGCAGAGGACTTTCGAATGCTTTAATTCAGATCAAGCACTATAAAAAGGAATTGGCATTGATCGATCACGAAAAATATAGCTATAATCAGTAAGTAAGAGAATCAGATTTGCTGATTGCAATGGTTTTCAACAATGCATTGGTAACGGCTGTAGCATTGGCGACCACAATGATCATGATGGCACGTCCTTCGGTCCAGGTAACGGTTAACATTACCAATCACTTAACCGAAAAAATATTGATCGTGCATTGTCGATCCAAAGACGACGACCTCGGAGCCCATGCGGTAGCCGTTGGGGCAAGCTTCCACTGGAGCTTCGGGCTGGAATTCTTTGGCGGGACACGTTTTTCGTGCAAGCTCGCGGTCGAAGATAAGCGTATTTCTTTCGTGGCGTACGAGCAAGGCGTCGACGCCGTGGGAGACTGGTTTGTTCTTGACGATGGAGTTCACGGGAATGGTAGTCCGTACTTTCTGAAGGCTGCATGGAGGCGACCAGCGCATGCATGGATTTATATCCAGAGGACTAGTAATGGAATGATATAAGATGCAGTTTGTAGCTTTCATTTTGTAATAATTTGAGTTATCGGATCAATAAATTCATAAGAAAAGTTATTACGGAAACCTTCCGTAATAGGCACTCATTTCACGTAATGAATATTAATCTTTCGTTACGTAATCCGTTAAATCATTACGGAAGACTTACATAACGCTTCTAATTTAACTGTTACGTAAGAAATAACTATCGTTACGTAACATTTACGTAATAGATGCATACTTTGCGTAACAGTTGTAAAGTGGCATTACGAAAGCCTTACGCAATGGATGGTCCTTTTACGTAATGAATATTAATCAAGTTACGTAATGTGGTAAGTCATTACGGAAGTCTTGCGTAACACTTCTAATTTAACTGTTACGTAAGATATAACCTTCGTTACGTAACTTTTACGTAATGAGCGTGTATTTTATGTAACAGTTGTAAAATATCATTACGGAAGCCTTACGTAATAGACGATGCTTTTACGTAATGAATTTTAACCTAGTGTTACGTAAAATGATAAGTCGTTACGGAAACCTTCCGTAACGCTTCTAGTTTAACTGTTACGTAAGACTAACAAGCATTACGTAATTGTTACGTAATAAACATTAGTTTTACGTAATGTGACCTATAAATCCTGCTATAGCAGGTCAAAAAAGTCAAGTTATAGTAACTTCAAAGCATGGTAGGAGGTCCCAAATTCATAATATATTAGAGCAGTCTTATTTATCGGGAATTTTTTTGTTCAAATGCTCTTTCCAAAATACACCCTAGTCCCTAAAGCAATACTTTGCCCATTAGATAATAAAAAATAGCGCCCCTTTCATATAAGGGGCCCAGTGGGCTGCGGGTGAGTCTACCGTACGCTTCCTACAGCCCACACGGATCACCGTTGATTCTTTCAACTTTAGATCTGAACTGTTGATTCTGTTTTCCCCTTCCGTCTCCCTTTCGCTGTTTACCTGGCGGCTGCCCAAGTTTGGCCGTTCAGAAGGAGCAGAGGAATTGGATCCAAGGAAAAATCAAAGGGATTTCGGGAGATGCGGCATCTATCCCGTACTCACCCCCACTTCTTTCCTTCCGTCGATCTGGTCGCCTAACTAGACATGGGCACTGAAGGTAGCCGACTCTGCTTTGCTTGGGCATTGCTGAAATTACAGTGGCATCTCCGCATCTGATTAGGGTAGGGATCGAAGGATTCTGGAGAGGAAGAAGCCAGGTCTCAAGAATGCTCGCAGGCTCCTCAGTTTTCCAAGAATGATCGAGTTTTTTTTTTGGTCATCGGGAGAGCTCAATTCCTTCAGCCAGACACCCTCCACAGTCCACACTCCCTGCAGCTCTTAAACAAGTTTGATAAATAGTGGCTGTTAATATTATTTCATCTAAACAAAAAATTTAATAAATGATTTTCCGGTTATAGATTTCATGCGCCCCATACTTTTGCATGGGTGCCACATCTTAGGTGCAAAATAAAACATGCCTCCTATTCATCTTCATTGACCTCTTTATTTCCTTCGCTTAAGGAATGACATTGGAATACGTCGGAATGAGGATGTTGATATATGATAAGTGTAGTTAAATTTAGGGAATACTGGGTTGAGACGGGGTCGAGATAATAACAATACATTTTAAACGTACAATTTGAGTAAAATTATATGTAATTTAGGGAATACTGGCTTGAGAATGGGACGAGTCAGAATAGGTCAAGTCGAGAAGAGGACCTATGCCCGCCCATCGAAGCACTTCTTCTTATACTATTTCCGAAACCCAAGGACTCAATCGTATGGATATATGTAAAATCAGGACGATATTGTCATCCCATTTCACGTTTTCAATTCTCTTTTTTGTTAAATGTTGAGGTTTTATCATTTAATTTGTTAAAATCCACATTACCTAACAGATTCCTTACAGGTGTCACTCATGCAATTATTTCATCGAGTTATGCTTGGTTCATATTTAGGATGTTCGCAAGTAAACATAAAGTGGAGAAAATGTACAAAGCTACAATGTTTGATGTGGAAGGATTATGTATTTGTAGGGTAAAATATATCGGGTACCACTACAGTATGAGAATTGGAGGAGGTACATTATTTATGATGGAATTTTGTGCGTGCATTTATTCATGATGTCATCTGCTCCCTAATTCTCTTTCTGCTCTACCCATGATGTTTGTACCGGATGCACGGGAATACGTCTATTTCTTACGTAACAATTAAATTAGATGTATTTTGGATAATCATTTGATACTTTACGTAATATGATAATATTATTCATTGCATAAAAGACCATCAATTATATAAAGCTTATTACATAAGGCCATTTCACATATGTTATGTACGATATAAGGGCATTACATAAAGATTATGGAATGACAATTACTTCTTACATAATAACTAAATCAAATGTATTACGTAAGTCTTCCTTAACAATATTAACAATTTACATAATGTTAAATTGATATTAGTTAAGTAAGAACGTTGTACATTACGAGACTCACTTTGTGTCATTTCACAATTATCAAGTACGATATAAATAGACTGCAAAAAGGTTGCGAACAATAATCACAAACGTTCACAATTCATCTTATTGTCATTCAATTTTGATAATTGATAATTTGATACTCTATTGGTCTTTCCATTTTGGCGGAATATGTGATTATTTTATTAGTTTACGGGGTAACCCATGAAAACTCTATGTAAAACTGTAAGCTACTCTATTTGAATATAACACTATCTCAAAAATCAATGTACTCACTTTTCAACCCCAAGGGTTGTCCCAGTATTATGAGTTGATAACAATATTTATTTTGTAAAATAACAATATTCATCGCATTTATACTAAAGTTTCTTTTATTGATTGTTACAAAATTATTTTCTTGCCTCATAAAATTGGGGAATATCTTGATTTATATATTATCATAAGTTCAAATATTCCATTCAAAATCAATTTGTATAACCATAATACAAATATATATTTACTCCAAAATCATACTCAAGTCCATTGAGGCTAAATAGATTGAGAAGTTAAAAATGGTCCTAAAATCACCTGCTTCAAGTTAATATATTCTCTTCGACTACTAAAGACATTCACCTTGATTTTACATTATTACTTTTTAATGCTAATGGGTCGGTTTATTTTCGAGAATCCGCTGCGGAGCGTGGGCCAATTTTCTAGTATATATATATATAACTAAAGTCTTCATGCCATGTACGGATGGAAATTCAGCCTCCACTGTGGGTATCTAAGTCAATCGAGGAGTGGAATCCCTACAGTATAACCTTGTATTGTTGGCATCATAATGAGCTAACTTAAAAGTGTGAAATGGTAAGTTTTTAAGCGCAATTTTGACTGCATTGCCTAGCACAACTCACCGCTCCAGCCATGATCAGGTTCACGAGCTGTGAATCTCCAGACATGGCTGCCAATTACGTGTAGGATTGGAAGTCCGGTTTCAGTTTTCCATTCAAACTTTAAATAGTCTCGGTTACAATCGAAAACCGGATACAATCCGATTTGGTCTGGATTACGATTTGCAAATTAATATTTGGAAAAAATCGTCCCAGATATAATCCGGTTAAAACTGGATGAACCGGAAAAACCAGGCCATGCCCAGACAATCCCTGCCTTGCACCCAGCCCAACCCTGAAGTCCAAAACTCAAACTAACAGAACTCTATTCCCCTCTCAAGTCTGCACTCTTCCTTTCTACCTTCCAAACAATTCCAAATTCCAGCTTCTCATGAGAGCTTTTGTTTGCCTTAATCTCTTACCAAATAGGTATAGTTGTTCAGAGCTACTAATTATCAAGGACATTCAACCACCCAACCAGACTTGGAATGAAAGTTTCTTCACTCACTCAGCCACATACTTTCAAATCTCCATGGTTGATGGAATCTCTCAAAGGTCCTCCGACCCGCAATAATTAAAATTGGACTATGTGGTCTGACTCCACTTGTTCCAAAGCGACGAGTAAGTCGGTCGAAAAATACTTCTAAAAGCTAGTGTGAACCATCACTCTATTAATTCAAGAGAGGATCGCAGATAGGGATGACAATTTTGCCCATACCCATGAGTTTTTTACTATCCAACCCAATTGGGTTGGGTATGAAATCCAAATAGATGGATATAGGTAGACTTTGATGGGTTTGTACCCATACCAATTTACTTGGGTTGGGTTGGGTTTATAACAAATGGATTTGGGTTTACACCCATGCCCAAATACAAATTACAGTTTGGCACTTAAACTTAATAGGTATGCAAATTTAGTACCTATTTTTTTTTTGCATATAAGTTCTCAAAATATCGATGGAAAATTACATTTTGGTACCTAAATATTTTTGGTCTTACATTTTGGTACCTAAACTTTTCAAGTTTTACAAATAGGTCCAATTTTTGCATTTGTAGTTAAAATACCCTCAAATAAATGGGTATCAATATCCAACTCATACCCATTTAGATTATGGAAGCAATACGCATACCTTACCCAAACTCATTTACAAACCCCCAAACTCATATGCACTTCACCCATACCCAACCCATTGTGAATGGATCTACTTGGATTTGGGTATAATTATCCATGGGTGGGTAATTGGGCTCAAGATAGGGTGAGTAACAATGAGTAACCAAATCTGGACCCTTCTTTTAAGTGATTGCAGATCTAAGGGTGGAGAATTAAATGAATTTATTTTCCCTAGTTTTCTTAATTGGATCATATCTTCTTTATTCTAACTCGGATTTCAAATATTTTTTTTAACAGATGGAACGAGTTCGTTGTCTCTACAAAATGATATCCATTTTCAATATTTTTTTAGATTTTTTTTCATCCCTCTCGTTATCAACTCCATACCATATGGTATCTCATTCGTTATCAACTCCAAAGGAACGATTTAATCATGATCTATTGGATTTCAAAATTTTCTGGGGGAAAAAATGTCAAACTTCTCGTTACCAACTCCATACCATACTATACCACCCTGGTATGAGGTGGTATTTTTCATACCATATGGTATTGACTGGTATTAAATAACAGCATATGGTATTGACTGGTATTTTTCATATCATATGGTATGCTGATATTTAATACCAGTCAATACCATATGGTATAGTCAATACCATATGGTATAGACAGGTAATAACTGACAAAAAAATTTTGTTCCAAAAAATATCAATGTGAATATTATTTTGAAGAGCACAATTAATCTGATCTAACTGTGCAAAAAAAATTAAATTCCAAGCTAAAACGAGTGAGAAATCATCCGTTAAAGATTAAGGGAAAGAAAATTAATGATTTTTTCAGGAGAGAGAAGAAGGCGCTGATGTGACAGATTCTTATTGGGTTAGGCTGAGTTCAATGGGCACTCCATTTAAGGGGGAATGGCAAAAATGAAGGAGGAGATGGTCCAATGGGGAGGTTTGGGCCTCAAAAAATGGAGGATCCTGGAAATGAAACTCCAAATTTGGGGGTGGAAATGGGGGATCCCCCAAATATAGAGAATCATCATAGCCCGCCACGTGGCTTTTCTTTTTCTTTTTAAGATTTTAGGGGTTAATTGGGGGTTTAATTAGGGGATTAGTTAGTGATTTAATTAGATCAATAATTTTCAAGTGTTGTATGTAAACCCAATTAGGTACATAATTTTTTGCCAAAAGAATTCGGACTCGGAATTTAACAAAATTCTATCGAAAAATTTGTATTTAAAAATGATGACGAATTATACAAATATTAACATGAATAAAAAAGCTACGATAAGTACATTTTTAAGTAAATAGAAAAACTAGAAAAATGAAAATCCTCAAATATGGAGATTGAAGCATTGGAGCAAAAGAAGGGAAAATGGGGATCAATCCCCAAATTTGGGGATGAAAGCCCCCAAATTTGGGATTTTGCATTGGACTTGGCCTTATGCATGCTCACCACAAGGTTACTCACCGAATCTGCTCCCGGGTAAGGGAATTGCCATCCCTAATCGCAGACACTCTTCCGATCCCCTGCTCCAAGTGAAGGCCGCCCTTTTAGGGGCACATATGTTAAGCAATGAGAGTGTATAAAGTATAAACTCGTTAAATTCACTTAATTAGCTCCTGATCTCTCGGTTCGACCCTGATTGAAATTTTCTTCTGTCCTCACTAGATTGAAATCTCCATTGATACATAGAGGCTCCGAATAATTCTGTCACAACAAATTTAATTCCTAATATTGAGCACGCACGTCGCTTAGGTTTCGTTTCTCAGGAAACCATAGATTTGTTTTTTTCCCCCATTTTATGAACTAATTTGAGAAAATATTCTAAAATGAAGCATGAGCTCCACCGTTTCTCTCCACCTCGCGCTGATCTTTTCCGAGTTGGACCATCCCGGCCGTCCGGTTTGGAAAGCTTTGGCATCGCCGGCAAGATTGTAAAGGGTAAAAGTGAGTAAGAGTTTCCTTGCACCGGTAACTCTTGGAAAACGTTAACATCTACCGTCACAGAATAACAAGCAAAAGCAGCACCGGCTTTTCGAATGCCTCAATTAGTCAAATGATTTTTTACTCTTCGTCAGATCAAAGCACTATAAAAAGGAATGACATTTGGTCGATCACAAAAAAAATTCCAGGATTCAAAAACCCTATGAAAAGTGAAACCAATAAAGTATATTTTTCGGTACAACTTTCGATCGGTACAATTTTTCAAAATCATTGGAAAATACACACTCAGATAAGAGAAACAGATTGCAATGGTTATCAACAAAGCATTGCTATCGGCGGTAGCATTGGCGACCATAATGATCATCATTATGGCACGTCCTTCGGTCCAGGTAACGGTTAACATAACCAATCAATTAACCCAAAAAATACTGATTGTGCATTGTCGATCCAAAGACGACGACCTCGGTGCCCATGCGGTAGCCGTCGGGGAAAGTATCCACTGGAGCTTCCGTGATAATTTCTTTGGCGGGACACATTTCTGGTGCAAACTCGCCGTTGAAGATAAGCGTATTTCATTTGCGGCGTACGAGGCATACTTCGAAATTTTCACGAAATGGGTTGTTTGTGACGATGGAGTTTATGGGCAGCCCGATGGTCATCCGAGCTTTCTGGAGGCCGGATGGAGGCGACCATAAGCGCATGGATTTGTCCTCAGCAGAGTGTCTTTACCATGTGGTATTGTGTCCATAGTACTTATAATGGAATGATATAAAATGCATTTTCAGCTTTATTTGTAACCGTTTGAGTTATTGAAATTAATAAATTCATAATATAGCTTAGAAATCTAATTTTCTGAGAAATGCTTTCTTCAAATGCTCTTTTCTAATTACACTCTCAAGCCATACCCCCAAGCGGCCTAATTCCTACCTGGCTACCTATATACTTTGTCCATATATGTAACTAAAGCCTTCATGCCATATAAATAAAGCAATTATGGCACCATTACTCCAGTAGGGGTGGGAAACGGTCCAATGTGTCTAAGTCTGATCAGATTAACCCTGTTATGAGTAACTGATTTTGGAAAAAATGGAAGCAGGAAACTGGATTGGATTGCAAATTGTTTTGACCGGATCTTGATTGGATTGGATCCGATTTCAAACCGAAAATCGGAATATCCCAATCTCCTCCAAAGCGATGCCGAAAAACAACTAAATAGCGAAGAAATTAATTCTCCACTCCCAATTCAATCACAACCTCTATTCCGTAGCGCGATTCGTCTTCCCGATTCATCCATTCTCTTATCTCTCTTTGCTTCTTTATCTTCTAACCTCCCTCTCCTCTGTAGGTAGGATATTGCCCGCTTTGGGCCAAGTCTGCACGGTTTTACTTTTGGGTGTCCTCCCCAAAAAGCCTTGTACTAATTGGGCTAGGTGGACTCTTATATAAATTGTTCTCTTCCTTTGTATTACCGATGTGATACTTGGATTGCCCATAACACTCTTGTTGCGAGAACGCCTAGCTGGGACCTGGGAGCGACCTACGATGCTTCAGAATGGCGAAGTGTTGGATTACAGAGGCGAGACCTAGCAGCGAGGTGACTAACAAATTGACCGGAGACTGGATCAGATCGGATGCAATCCGATTTTGGTTTCAACAAGGACGGTTTAAACTTCCTAGTTCCTGGTTTGACTTGAAAACTGGAACCGGATTCACAGCCCTAGACACCACTGTGAGTATCTAACCCAACCAACGAAAAAAATTCCTACATTGACCGGATACGAGTCAGGTACTCAGAAAACCCGCATATAAAATGATGGGCATAGGTCGAGATTAATGAGATTACGTGTCCCGGCTTCATCCATTTATCCAGCGGATTATTCACTAGTCTTTCCACCTTTATAACTAAAGGATCGGGAATAAGATGAGATAATATTCTAAGGTGATTCGGTGAACCCTGAGCTCCCCCGTTTCTCTCCACCTCCCGATGATCTCTTCTGAGTTGGACCAGCCCGGCCGTCCGGTTTGGAATGATTTGGCATCGCCGGCGAAAATTATAAACTGCAAAAGTCAGAAAGAGGTTCCTGCACCGCAAACTCTGGGGAAAACGGGCATCAATCGTATGCCGAAAACGACAACATCTCCCGTCACATAATAACAAGCAAAAAACAGCACCGGACTTTCGAATGCTTCAATTACTCTTCTACTCTGTCATCAGATCAACCACTATAAAGTGGAAAGGTGATGGATCATGGAAATACCAAGGATTGGAAAACCGTACCAATCTTTGGTACGATTTTCCAATCCTTCGAAAATACATTGCAATGGTTATGAACAAAGCATTGCTTGCGGCGGTGGCATTGGCGACCACAATGATCATTATGATGGCACGTCCTTCTGTCCAGGAATCGGTTTACATCACCAATCATTTGACCAAAAGGGTATTGATTGTGCATTGTCGATCTACGGACACCGACCTTGGAGCCCATGCGGTAGCCGTCGGGGCAAGCTTCCACTGGAACTTCCGGGAGAATATATTTGGCGGGACTTTCTTCTGGTGCAAACTCGCGGTCGAAGATAAGCGTATTTATTTCCTGGCGTACGACGAATACGTCGAAACGTTCGGGACCTGGTTTGTTTGTGACGACGGGGTTTATGGGACGCCCGCTAGTCGTCCGGCCTTTCTGAAGGCTGCATGGACTCGGCCATAATATAAAGCGCATGGATTTATCGTCAGGAGAGTGACTTTACCGGATGGAATTGTCTCCAGAGTTCTTGTAATGGAATGATATAAGATTGCATTTTTATCTTTTATTTTTGTATCCAAGATTTATTTACTAAGAAATGTGCGTGGGTGTTCAAATGCTCTTTTCTAAATACCCTCTATCTAAAGCCATATCCCCCACAATTCAATCCCCATAATCCGAGCTATATTTGGCGAAGTATAGTTGCTGCACCAGATTTAGTGGCCAAAGGATTTAGATGGAGGGCGGGTAATGGAACACTGTGAAATTGTAAAGAAAAAGCAAGAAGTCACTTGGTTTATAGTGGTTCTTCCTCACGTCAGTGAGGCTTACATCCACTGTAGAAGTTTGATCTCTTATTTCATGGTTTGGCCGGAGGCCATACATTGATTTATATACCCTAATACATCAGAGTCACCTAGGGTATACATGGGGCTACATTTACGTAAAGGAGAAGGAATATGCTGATTCCTCTCTGATGCAGCCGCGTAATCTACGTGGACTGCATGGGCCGAGGACGATCGCTTGGATCGCATGGGCTGTGGTGAAGTCTTGCCCAATAAACACAAATAAAAATTTGGGAGGATGGCTGGTTACCAGAAGCTGAGAGTTTCAAAATAGCATCAAGTTGCCAGGCCGTGGATAGAGGCGTCATGGTTCATTATTGATTGATTTTGATTCAAGGCAGTGGTGTTCTGAACTCCTACAACAAGCTCACTTCCATCCCGAAGATAGAGCCCAAATTCAGAAAATCCCAATCATGCGACAACCCTGCTCAGATAGGAGAGTGTGGGGACTGGCGAAGAGAGGTTTCTATTCAGTGAAGTCGGCCTACGCGAAATGGAAGGAAGAACAGGATATGGAAGTAGGATAGCTCTATATCCCCGTAAATTGGAAACAGATCTGGCAGCTTAATCTACCTCCTAAAGTCAGGGTCTTTGCATGGCATTGGATCCATAATATCAGGTTTGTAGAAAATTGAGGAAGGTAGAGGTTAAAGGTTTCTCGCAGCGACCAGAGTGATGGCATTAAAAGGGGACGCTAGGGTTTTACTCCGTTGTGTGGCAATTCTTGAGCGAAGGCAAAGGAATTGAGAAGGAGGATTTAACGAGGGTAAAAAAATATGAGGAGTTAGTGGGTTATGGAGGTAGAAGGAGATCACAAAAAAGCAAAAGATAATTAGCAGGGACGATGGGTGGGATGGGGGTAAAAGTAATTTGAGTGTTTAAACTTCAAATTGCGAGAATTAGGTATACACTGATTATTTAGTTGATTGATTTATGCGTAGGATAAAAAAGATTGAGTGACCAAAATGTACAAAAATCAATTAATGAGCGCGGTTGAAATTATATTTACCATTTATAATTATTTATTTATAATTAAAAATTTATTAACAAATAACAAGTGTGAACACATGCGTACAGTGAATGCTTACGTATGCTAGCATTTGCCATATATATATATATATATATATATATTCTTTTTGGTAACAGAGGCATTTATAGATTTGAAAATTTGGGGAGGAAAATTTAGACTTGTCAAATCAAAAAAAGGAGGGAGCGGGTTTGGGAATTTGGAGAGGGAATTTAGACTTGTCCAAAAAAAGGGAGGGAACTAAGGGAAAATATTTTGGGGGTTTCAAAAGTGTTTTTATAGGTTTGGGAGGGAATTTTATAACAAATATTTGGAGGATTTTCAAGAGTGATGTTTACATTTTAGATTAAAAAAAAATTCTCAACTTTTTGGTGAACATCTAATTCTACCTCTATTTAATATTTATTATTATAGATGATAAATAAATCCTATATCGATTAGCTAGTTTGTTGTCTAACCCGTTGGTCGGAATGTCATTTGAATATGATATATTTATGATGTACATTCTAAAGTTTTCAAAATATTTGAAATTTATATTTCTACCCAATAACTAAATTAGTTGTTAAAATCGAATTATATCATAAAAATATGAAAATCGAAAAGTAAAACACCAAATACTAACAGAAGAGTTAGTGGGCTAGTTAACCTTAACGAAAAGTCATATGTGTTTAAGATTTTAGGTATCTATGATGAAATTGTTGGTAGAACATATGTTATGTGAAGAACGTAAGTTAAGTCAATTTTATATTAGGTTATTGTGAAGAACATACGTCCTAATCCTCCTTAGCCTAAACCATGACCTCTAACCCTAAATCCTGAACTCTTGTTACATGTCATGAAATTGTTGGTATAACATATCTTACATATGTGAAGAACGTAAGTTAAGTCAATTTTAGATGTTATATTACTGTGATGCTATATAAGTCCTAATCTTAAGATTCCTTAGAGATTCACATCAATGCAATTGCAATTAGAATTATTAAACCACAAGTTTGCAAAACTTAAAAAATAATCCGGTTACTGTTCCTTACGAAAAATCCGGAAGCCACTGTTCACAAAGGAGTTCTGTGATTCTCTGCGGTCAGATTCACATAAGCCCGTGTTTATCTTTGTTGGGCTGGCCAAGCACGGCCTTTTTTACAACAAATCGTCCGCACCTGATCACTTTGTTCTCCATCACACAATAAAAATATAAAATTTTTAATTCAAAAACAAAAAACTTCAATGAAAAATAGAAGCTAATTAAAAGACGAAAAACATCAATGAGAAAACGAGGGTTTGAATCCCCCCTGTACCTCACCCCTGAACCCGCTGAACTTTACTCTGGCAAACAATTGCAGAGATTCAGCATCCTAATATCCCCCAGTCTCCCTATTCATCGTAATCTTCTTTTTCCCCGACGTTTCGGCTCCGTGGGTCGTTCAACCTGATCAATTCAAAAGCATAGAGAAATGAATAGACGAATTGAGGATTTTGATCGAAGAAATCGGTATCAAGCCATGCGCGGTTTTTTTGGAAGGCGTCTCTGTAATCGGTTCTGCATGCTTTATCGAGACCGATGGAGGTCCGGCGTTTGAAATCCCTTTCATCTTCGGCTGCCATGGTCTCCTTCCACAGACTCCTACAACAATGAATCCCAACCCTAGGTAACTGGAAAAGAGACGAGATTTGAAGGCCACCACATGTAAGATTAATCAACAAAGTACTCTCTGAACATGCGATCCCATTAATACCCAAGCATATAGAATTTTAAAAGGTTTGAACCTGCATCATCGAATGAAGTGAAAAACGAGATAAAATACCCAAATCTATAACATTTTACCTGGGTTATTTGAAAGAGCAACGTAGTGGCAGCATTGTGGATTCTCCCGGTGGTGGTAAACTCCGCGGATTCCATAGTTGGCGAACCACAATCTGTGCGACGACAGAGCTGACGTAGAGTTGGTTGGACCAGTCGTCGAAGAAATTATTGACGAAAGGGAGAAGGGAACATGAGATTAGGCCGAAAACCATGTCCGGAAATTTGTAGTGGGTTGAGTTAGAACGTCAGTGATTGGAACCATCAGCGGCACCTGCTCAATTGGGTTGTCGTTCACTACTACTACGTTCTCCCCTGTTTTAAAACAGAGTATCCCAAGAAAGAAGAAAGGCCAGAAAAACAGAGCATTGGTACAGATATCTAACTCAATTGGAGCTTCATCTTTCGAATAGATTGATAAGGGTTTCTGTAATTTGCCTCTTTTACCAATTTCAACAAGAGAAATAGGGGTCATTGATGAACATGATGAACTTAAAGATCTGTGCATGAGCCACACGTGTCTTTATTTGCAATGCAGAAAGCCACCTGTATTTGGTTCTAAAAAGACAAAGTGATGTAAGAAACTTTTACTTTTTGTTTTATTTTGATCTCTGATTAGAGATGTCATAGTTTGATTTGTGGAAATAATTCTAATTAGGGTTATAGGTATAATATGCCCATCTACTATAACGTGTTATCAAAAATGCCCTCTACTATTTTTTACATCAAATATGCCCCTGTACTTTGAAAAAATTATCAAACACGCCCTTCTGTTAAAATTTCCATTGAAAAAATCGTCAATCATGGTTGAATTGAGATTTAGACGACCCGACATCAACAAATGGGAGGGAAAATGTCAGTTTTGTCCCCTGTTTTATTTCCCTGGGTCTTTTCAAAGTGAAATTATTTGAATGATTTGATTATACAAAAGAACCAAAAAATTTATAAAGTGAATTTATTAGGGATATTTTAGTCATTTGTGTCGCCCAAACTAAAGTTCGGCCTTGGTTAACGATTTTTGGATGAAAATTTTAACAAAAGGGCATGTTTGATAATTTTTACAAAGTACAGGGGCATGTTTGATGTAAAAAATAATAGAGGGGCATCTTTGATAAAACATCATAGTAGAGGGGCATATTATACCTATCACCCTTCTAATTATTGCAAACCAATTACCCGCTATAAGTTCCTTACTTTGGGATTTACTAAGTGGATTTTATTGTAATTCTCTCAAACTTTAGGGTCAATTTCTTTTAGTACAATAGGTCTCCACTTTTTCCATTTTTTATAATGAAATCATAACGTGTCTTTGATACTACTCTTATTTTACACAATCCAAAAACTTTCATAACGGTGGTGTGATTCGGTTTGAGTAACGGATCTTGACGTGATACATCTACATAATGAAAATAAATATGAATTGAATTTTACAATATTTATAAAATAAGCACGGTGAAAAATCTGCTTCAAAAATATAATTGTAAGAAATGAAGTAATAACGATATATTATTCCATCAATGCATTTTTTTATATTTATCTTTATCAATTACAATATTTATGCGTTTTCAGGATATTCGAAATAATATTTTTGTTTTTGCAAAGAGTCCAATTTTGAAATCTAGACCTCATTGTTTTTGCAGGATATTATGTATGATTGAACACATTCTTTTTTAACCGATCGTAGATAAAACTGTTTTATTTACCGTTTCACATTTGAAATTACATTATATAAGTTTATCATATTTACAAAATACAAACTTTAATCAAATAAAAATAGAACACAACCTGCGCGAAGCGCGGGCTTTGATCCTAGTGTCAATTATATATGAAGTTCTTTTTTCCACTTCAATATTTTTGAAGGGCTTTTGTTTGCCTTAATCTCTTACCAAATAGGTATAGTTGTCCAGATGCTACTTACCGGGACATTCAACCATCCAACCAGACTTGGAATGAAAATTTCTTTACACAACCACATATATTTTCAAATCTCCATGGTTGATGAAAAAATATTGTCTCAAAGGTCCCCCGACGCAGCGAAATCGGACAATGGTCGGACTCCACTCGATCCAAAGCAATGTGTGAGTGTCATAACCTCTACACATGAGATAGCCCGTACGCAAGCTTAGGTTTCGTTTGTCCGGAAACGATAGATTTGTTTTCATTAGGAACTAAAATGAGGCAATATTATAAGATGAACCATGAGGGCCCCCCGTTTCTCTCCGGCCCCCTCCCGCCGATCTCTTCTGAGTTGGACCATCCGATCCCGGCCGTCCGGTTTGGAATGATTGGGCATTGCCGGCAAAAATTTAAAGGGTAAAAGTCAGTATATAAGAGTTTCCCTGCACCGGTAACACTTGGAAAACGGCATCTATAATGTATGCCGAAAACGACAACATCTCCCGGCCGTCACATAATAAGAAGCAAAAGCAGCACCGGCTTTACGAATGCTTCAATTAATCTTCTACTCTTCATCAGATCAACCACTATAAAAAAGGAATGGCATTGATCGATCATGAAAATACAACCAAGGATTGAAGAACCGTAACGGTTTTTTCAATCCTTGGAAAATTCATTGCAATGGTTACCAACAAAGCATTGCTAGCGGCGGTAACATTGGTGGCCATAATATTGATCATTATGGCACGTCCGTCTGCCCAGGCATCGGTTTACATTACCAATCACTTATACAAAAGAGTATTGATTGTGCATTGTCGATCCAAAGACGACGACCTCGGAGCCCATGCGGTAGCCGTTGGGGCAACCATCCACTGGAGGTTCGGGCCTAATATGTTTGGCAGGACACTTTTCTGGTGCAAACTCGCGGTCGAAGACAAGCGTATTCATTTCGTGGCGTACGAAAAACGCATCAGAAGTTACGGGAACTGGTTTGTTTGTGACGACGGAGTTTATGGGACACCCAATCACCGTCCGGCCTTTCTCAAGGCTGCGTGGAAGCGACCATAATTTATTTAAGCACATGGAACTGGTATTGTAATGCAAACGTTCGTGTAATGGAATGATATAAAATGCATTTTCATTTTTTAAATTTGTAACCGTTTGAATTATCGAGACTAATCACTTGATCAGATATATAGTATTGACGTCTTATGTGCCGAGAAATGTGGTGTTCAAATGCACTTTTCTAAATACCCTCTATCTAGTCCAAATCATGTTATTTGATAGGGTTATAGGTATAATATGCCCCTCAATTATGACGTTTTATCAAACATGCCCCTCTACTATTTTTTACATCAAATATGCCCCTGTACTTTGAAAAAATTATCAAACATGCCTTTCTGTTAAAATTTCCATTGAAAAAATCGTCAATCATGGTTGAATTAAGATTTAGACGACCCGACATCGGCAAATGGGAGGGAAAATGTCAGTTTGTCCCCTGTTTTATTTCCCTGGGTCTTTTCGAAGTGAAATTATTTGAATGATTTGATTATACAAAAGAACCAAAAAAATTCTAAAGTGAATTTATTAGGGATATTTTAGTCATTTGTTTCGCCCAAACTAAAGTTCGGCCTTGGCTAACGGTTTTTGGATGAAAATTTTAACAAAATGGCATGTTTGATCATTTTTACAAAGTACAAGGGCATGTTTGATGTAAAAAATAGTTGAGGGGCATGTTTGATAAAACGTCATAGTAGAGGGGCATATTATACCTATAACCCTATTTGATAATATCTAACCAATATGTGATACAAAATTTCTTTTTAAAATATAAATAATATAAATTTGCTCACATACTCAACGCGTTACACTTCATATAGGTGAGATATATAATTTAATAATCATATGAATTAAATTCATAAGATATAGATCGATTCACCTATAAGACGGTAATCGAGTTGGCTCTCTAGCCACAATGTGAGACATCTCATGAGCTCTAAATGAGCCAGCTCTCGAGTTTAGCTCAACAAGCCACCGAATCAAGATAGCTCGCGAGCTGAACAAGGCTTAGCTCATTGATCGCTTGACTCGTTAATAAACGAGTCAAGTTTCAAAACCTTTTCCCGAGTCGAACACCAAGCCGCTCCCGCGCAGTTCAGTTAACGGGAATCAATAACTTATATTTGTATCAGGGACGGAGCCAGGAATTTCATTTAGAAGTGGCCAATAACTAAGAGGTGCCATGTGGGATGGTGAAAGACAAATTTATAATATTCAATAGCAATTTTCACATTAAGTTTTGAGATAAACTTATTTGATTTATGTTGATGAATCAGTCTCGACTTTAAGAAAACAATGTAAACTATCCTATCACTCATTTTTCAAACCATCATTCGATTTTTATAGTAAAAGTTAAATGATAAATATGATGTGAAATGAAGCTTTCGAAGATGAAGTTATTCTAAAAAACACGAAAAACATTCCATGGACAACTTTTTGCTAAAAATTCTTTTTGTTTTAGAGAATAACACCTAAACAAGCAAAAAGAAAAGAAACAACCCGTTGATGAACTTAAGGATATATAAGTATAACACCTAACTAACAAATTGCAACTAAGTGAAAAAAGCAGAACACAACTATTGACATAGTGAACTTAAGGACATATAAGTATAACACCTAACTAACAAATTACAAATAACTGAAACAAAAATAGAACATAACTATTGACATAGTCATGTACTGAATTTACTACCTAATAACCACATGACATATTTAGGTGTTATCCTAGGACATAATCATAGGATGAAGTTATTCTAAAAATAGAACAACTTACCAATTGCACTGCAGTCATTATTATTTTCAAGGGCCATATTTAGAAATTTTTAACCACTCTAGGGGGCCATGGCCCCCTAACAATTAGGGATGGCAATGGGGCGGGTTTGTGACGGGTTTGTCTAAACTATCCCCATCTTCAAATACCCAAACCCATATCCGCCACATACCCACGCGGGGAATGTTTTGCAAACCCATCATACCCGTGGGTTTCGGTTACCCATGGATAATACCCATCCCCGTACATCCAACATTATTATACCTAAAACTTACAAGAAAAGTTTTAATTATAACCATAAACAAACCTATTATATCATGAAGTCAACAAATCACGGTCATTTTCTAAATACGATTCAAAGAATATGATCCTAAAACATCCATTAATACATAATATAGACTACAATATTTTTTAAATTATTATGCTCTAACTCTTGATACATTTATTAAGTAATAATTAACTAACATAATCTTGTTGACAAGGGGAAAAGTGAAAGAGTGGAAGGAGAATTGAGGAAAATGAATTAGGTTTTGATTAAGGTGGTTACTCAATTGCATTTCTACTATTTATTTTCTCGAGTTATCAAAATCATAATTGATAGATTACAATTTAATACACATATTTTTTGATATGTGAAGAAATTCTCTTGGTGGGGCAGGTATGGATATGGGTATGGGGCGGGGGAGGCTAAAACCATACCCGCCCCATGGCCATCAAACTTTTTGCGGGTTTTACCCATACCCGGTCAAAGCGGGGATTCCCCGCGTTGACTGGATCGAGGGCGATCGGGTACCCACGACCATGGGTTTGATTGTCATCCCTAGTAACAATGAGCTAGCTTCCGTCCCTGATTTATATGTCTCATTTTATAACTATTCAATCAATCAAGTAATAACATTGATTATATATATATATGGTGGCGTCTTCGGTGCACTCACTTTTTCGGTGCATTCAGTGCACTCGCTTCATAACCGTTATTTAAAACATGCGATTTATGTCAAAATGATGTCAATCATCACTTATGATGTGATGAACAATAACGCACATGAATTTGCACAAAAATCATTACAAATTTACTTTAATTTGAAGGATTTAGAGTTTAGAGATTTAAGACTAGGGTTAGGGTTTACAATTTGGGGTTTAGGGACAGAACTCAATATTGGAGGTCTAGAGCTTAGGGTAATCCGCTAATTAGTTGTTATCATATGTTATATCATCATATTGCACTAATTCTACAAATTAAAATTCAAAATCCGACACTTTAAGACTAGTTTTTGAGTTGGGTGCATTGTACGCACTCATTTTTGTGAGTGCACGGAAGTAGTCACTATATATATATATATATATATATATATATATATATATATATATATATATATATATATATATATATATATATATATATATATATATATTTAAATCATAAATGACTACGGGAAGAATCCTCTGACTAGTTGATCGAAAAGTGAGGATACTCAGAAAGTGTTGATGTTATTGTTCCACTACAACAAATGTGTCTTTTTGTGACCTTTTTTATGCAACTAATATTTTTTTTGTCCCAAAAACTTATTATTAATAACCAATTATTTTTCGGTAATGAAAAGTTTGATGAATTGGTTACTTATTAATAAAAGATTTTTATAACCAAATTAAATTTGGTAATGAAATGTTGAAATTCTTTTCATAACCAAAACTATTTGTTAATCATCTTCATTCTTTTTAAAGTAACTAATATTTTTGGTCACGTTAACATGAAAAAATAGTCACCAACTAAAGGAAAATATTTATAACAAAATTAACCTCTATATGACTAAAAATATTGGTAATAAAAGGATTTGCGTTTGTCGTCTGTCAGTTGAATGGGAGTTGCCCTTTTCTATATAGAAAAAAAGGAGTTGCGTTTGCCTCCATCCTTTGCTGCAACAACCTGTGTTATTCCTAATCCACATTTCTTTTAAGTCTAGGCCACCAATAAAAGCGAAATTATTGAAGCAACTCTTTCAAGAAAGGAATACAGACTCGTCGCTCCGATATCCATCATTCTGGTCCGCCGGCTCTTCCAAATCCCTAGCCATCACCGCTCAATCTCCCAAACTCCTTCGTCCGCGAAATGGCATTCGCCACTCACTCTTTCGCCCGCGAGTTCACCGTCGTCGCTCACTTCTTCGCCCGTGAGATCGTCGCCGACCGTTCCAAATCCCTATCTGTCGCAGCTCAATCTTTCAAACTCCTTCGCTCGTGAAATCGCAGTCGATGCAAACTCCGTCTCCCGCGAGATCACCACCGCTACTCACTCCATTGACCGCGAGATGACCGCCAACTCTTCCAAGTTCGGTTCAGTCTCCACTCGCCACACATTCCTCACCAGGCAAGTTCAAGGACCGCATCAAGAATGGCCGCATCATCTACATGCAACAATGTTCTGAATCGCAGGTGAGGTCTATATCTTAGCAGCTTCGTTGTTTTTTTTAACTCCATTGAAAATGAACTGTTCAATTTTCCTGGTTATTGCTCCCTCATGGTGTGATTTTCCTGGTGGTCACGGGAGGAAACTAGGGGATTGGGTTCGAGATTTGCAAGCAGTTGGCTTCTAATGGAGTTTTGGTTGTTTTAACAGCCAGAGATGAAAGCAGAGGCCTCCAAAATGCCTCAGTTTGGTTTTATTTTGCCTAATTGCATTTGACGGGAGTTCCATTTTTGCCAGTAAACCACTCTTCTTTGATTGCCGTTTCGGCCTTTCTATAACCCTAGGAAGTTGAAGTATTTCGTTGTCTGCTTGTAGGCATTTAGCAGCTCTTGTACGAAGCTGTCTCAGACATGGAGAATCAAGGTGGCTCCCCAACCTAGTCAGTAAAATCCAAGAGTAAGTATTCTATTCTTATTGTAGTCTAATTCTGTGTTTGATCATGGTTTCAAAGTAAGAATAAGGAAATTGCAAGTCGTGGTCATAGTTCAACTTGTAGGAATCTGGGTCATGGAAGTTCTACTGGAAAGAAGATTAAGGAAACTAAGCTAGGGGATAACAATTCTTTCTCGTGAAGAATGCTTAGACTATGATTACTGAGTAGCAGTTAAACATGATAAAGATACTTTTGCTTCATGAATCTAGAAAAGACCGGGAATCTTAAATTCAAGCGAGTCCAGCAATTTACATTTTCTTAGCTGTGGCTTCCTTCTTACTTCTTACTTATGTAAAACAGGAGAACTTTGGTATGTGCAGTAGGCGAAAAATGCAGACAGTCGAAGTAGATTTGCTGATAGAGGCACCAGGGGAAGCAAGTCCAATAGAAGTATGCCTGACTTTTACTTTTTTTATGCTTCATTCTCATATTTAATATAATCATATCCTCATGTCATTGTTATATTATATACTGATTTGCTGGGCTTGACCTTATTTGACCATTTGCTTTATACAGAAATGAGTTGCTTGAGCATCATTTTGTTTGTTCTTCTGAAGAAATATTACGAGGACAAAGGCTATTAGGAACCAGGCACAATGTTGTGCATGTGAACATCCTGAAGGGAAGGAGGTAATGAAGCCATAAGATGCCTCTGCTAGTGCCTTCATGAAATAACAGGGTCACTTAGCAAAGATTTCTAGTCAAATGGTTGATTTTTGAGTGTCAGTGCAACCTGTCGAGTCAAAATAATTTACTATTCTGATTAACTTATCTGTGCATTCACTGCTATTCTCACTGTTGTACTGCTGGGTTTCATGGGAAATGGCACAAAAGGTCCTCTTGTTCAAAATAAGACAGGTTGCGTCATCTCCAATTCTGTCTCCACTCACCATGAGATGCTCACCAGACAGCTAAAAGATCGCGTCAAGAGACGCAGGTGTGTTTCTCGTCTCTTAGTGGCTCAGTCGTTACTCTAAATGTTCTTGGCTATACAGCCCACACTGCTAGAATATTTTGGACGATCTCAGCTGCTGATGCAGTGAACTGATTTTTGGAATAATTAGCTATATGTTCTTGTTTAGCAACTAACTAACACAGAAGTTGGGCCTCATGTTTACTTGAATCTCTTCTATATTCACTGTTGTGAAAGTAAATTTTGGTGTGGACGCGTTTCAATCATTTAAGTTGTAATATCTTACTCTTGGTACTTTGTTTGTCTCTAGTGAAGTATTTCGTATTGTTGTACTCCTGGTGAAGATCAACTCATGGCCTCAACTGCATCTCCCCAGCAAGAAAGTGATGTTACTACTACACCCAGTAAGTACCCCTCTCTCTCTCTCTCTCTCCTTTTACTATTTCTAATTTATGATTTCTTATGTTTCTTCTTCTGGTCTTAAATGATGGTTTGTTGGGTTTTTGGGAACAACTATTCCTATGTCAAAAACCACAATAAGGTAACAATAATCCTAATCAGTATGCTATGTTTTCCCCTTTTGTTTGATATGAGAAGAGGCACAATTCAACTAACAACGACAACAGTACACAAGCCAAGGAGAAACTCTTCACCAAGGAAGCTTCCCAAAGGATGTCTTAAGGTAAGGTTTGATATAGCAGGATATCAATTTTCAAGATTATTGAATCGATTTTGCAAATTCAGTTGTTGAATCTATTTCACAATGTAGAAGAAGAAGAAGAAGCATGTCCTGGTTCCACTTCGTTGACCTTGCTCAATTAATGATTTTTGTTGCACTATTTAGGAATAGTCTGGAAACTTCATAATCTGGCTAATGAGAATCGCTTGCCCTGGAAACTTCAATCTATTACAGCTACAGTTTATAGAGACTGTTAGAATCAAGATGCATTGAGTAATTCAGAGAAAGATGTGTTTTTTCACCCTCTTTGGTACTTCTTGCAGCTCGATCTGGAAACTTTGGTCAATTTCCAGTTGGTAGGATCCTATGAACCAAGTTTGGTCAATTTCATGGCTGTGAAGGCCAATTTCAGAGGTTGAGAAGTCTGACAACCCTTAAGTGAGTCTTTTGGTCCTTAGCATTCTAAGGTTTTGGCTATTCTGCAGAATGGGTAGCACCTGTCTTCTGATGTTAACCAATACGTTTTCTGTCATTTGTCACCTTTGTTCCCTAGTCACTGTTCTCAGTGAGTGGGGTACGTGATTTGGTCCCCTTTCGATGCAGGTCTGTTGTCAGTGCAATTGAAATTGCAAAGGCAATAGAATAAATGTTTACCCTCTTTGTTTCCTTTCCAAACCAGTAGAATAATTCAACTGGAAGCTTCCTTGGCATCTTGCTCTAAATCGCCATTTGTATCAGAAGCCCGGAATAGTTGCTAGTTTTATATGCAATTCTCTTGCTTGGTAACTGAGAGATAAGAATTTATATGCGGTTGGATTTCATGTTTACACATTGGCAGAGATATATGTTCACGTCATGTTGAGGCAAGAAGCTAGAGAAAACAGTCTGGAAGATGCATTCTATTCCTACATCAAAAATCACAATAAGGTAACAGGAATTCTAATCAAGATGCTATATTTTCCTCGTCTGTTTGACATGAGAAGAGGCACAACCCAACCAACAATGATGTAAAGTTTTACTGACATCTTTTCAACAGTGCACTAGAGGTTTAATACAGAGGAAGATGCAAAAATGTTTGGCAAGTCTGGTTGAGGTAACTGAACGTATAAACTTCAGAAATGGAGTTGACAAAGAATAGTAGTAACTTTTCTGGGGTGCAATTTTGAAGGTCCTACATAGGGGAGCTGTGGAATAGGAGAACAAGATTACAAGGAGAGGAGGAGGTTGGTACAAGTGTATAGTTTCCTTTTTGAAATTCATATCCTATGCAAATACTGCCTTAGCTAATACTGTGTATGGACTGATTTGTATGCATGCAATACAATGGTTGGGTGGTAATGATACTTGCTTTGGGAACTCACAAGTTTAAAGCTGAAAAAAAGGCTGGTAAAAGTGTAAAGTTATACTTGCTTTGGCTTCTCCTTGTTCATAATTAAGGTACTTTGTCGTGATCAGCATACTGTTTTGATTTGTTGTTGAGAACCAAGGATCTTGTTTTGTTCACTCAATTTTTACTATATATGGTGCAGGTATTTCAAACAAGGGGCAAAAAAATTTAAAGGAGCTGGGTGATCTCTCAAGCCAAAGTGATTTCTTTGGCAGATTTTAGTTTCTCATTTTTTGTATTTTTGTATTTCTTTAATGAATTAGAACTGCTATGAACTAATGTAAGTTGGTATTTGGTTGGAAATGTAATGTGACCATTATGGGCTAAATTGCTTGCATTACGTTATGCTATTATAACCAAATCAGTAGCTTTTCTCAACTAATATATATACAACCAAATTAGCAGTCATATTTAGAACAATTTATAACCAAAAAATTGTTACATTTAGATTGTATGATTACCATAAAACATTGGTTGGAAATAATATTTATTACCAATGAAAATAATTATTTTTGAACAAATAGATTGGTTACTTTATTTACTTTTTACAACCAAAATTACTATTCATATTTGGATTATAAGCGACCATAAGAAAATTGGTAAGGATAAGAGTTTCATAACGAAAAATTTTGGTTACTTAATGATAATTACATTAGCTATGCAGAATAGTTTTGTAACCAAATTTTTTGGTTTTAAATAATGGCTTCTGTGACTTAATCATTTGGTTGGTAAATAATATATGAATTGGTTGGTTTTTATGTTATTTGTGACCAATAAGGTATTCTTTCGTGACTATTTTGACAGTTTTTTTGTTACCAATTGCCTTGGTTGCAAATAAAAAACAATTGTGAACAATTGGGTCTGTCGTCACAAAAATACGATGTATTGTGACCAAACCCAAAGATTGGTCACCAAATGGTTTTCCTAACGCGGCAAATATGATCAAAGCTTCTACCAAAAGTTTTTGGTCACGACATAGGATTTGCGACCAAATTTTGACATTTAGCGACCATTTTTACTCGTCACAAAAGGCTGTTTCTGTTGTAGTGTTCGATCCATGTGTTCCTAAGACAACAAGTCAATATTATATATACCTTAAGTCTTCATGTATAACCTCTAGACATGAGATAGCACCCACAATCAATAATATATGATTCATAATTGAATTTATCTCAACAATCCAAATTATTCGTACAAACTGGTTTTTTACATCTAATTATTGGAACACCAACTGTTTATTCAAGTAGGGTTGATATACACTTTCCCCCGTTTCTCTCCACCCCCGCTGATCTCTTCTGAGTTGGACACGCGCGGCCGTCCGGTTTGGAATGATTTGGCATCGCCGGCAAAATTTACAAGGGTGAAAGTCAGAGAGAGGTTCCTGCACCGGAAACTCTTAGGAAAACGGCATCAGCCTATGCCGAAAACGACAACATCTCCCGTCACAAAATAACAAGCACAAACAGCACCGGTCTTTTGGAATGCTTCAATTAATCTCCTCCTCTTCATAAGATAAAGCACTATAAAGAGGGAATTGGAATTGATCAATCACACGATAATACCGTCGGTAGCATTGCTTTGCTATGGTTATCAACAAGGCATTGCTACCGGCGGTAGCATTGGCGACCATAATGATGATCATCATTATGGCACGTCCTTCGGTCCAGGAATCGGTTAACATTACCAATCAAGTAACCCAAAAAATACTGATCGTGCATTGTCGATCCAAAGACGACGACCTCGGAGCCCATGCGGTGGCCGTTGGGGCAAGCATCCACTGGAGCTTCGGGCCGAATCTCTCCGGCAACACACGTTTCCGGTGCAAACTCGCGGTTCAAGACAGGCGTATCTCTTTCGTGGCGTACAAGGAAAGCATCGTCACCTTCAGAGACTGGGTTGTTCGTGACGATGGAGTTTATGTGAAGCTCTATGATAGTCCAGCGTTTCTGAAGGCTGCATGGACGCGACCCGTAATATAAGTGGCATGGATTTGTCGTCTCAGCGGAGTGCCTTAATTACCAGGTGACACTGTATCGAGAGATATTGTAATGGAACGATATAAGATGGATTTTTAATTTTTATTTTGTAACAGTTTGAATTATCGGGGACCAATAAATTCATAATATAGTTTCAAAGTCTTATTTATCAAAGTCTTATTTACTGTGCTACCAAAAAAAAAAGTCTTATTTACTTAGAAATGTTGTGTTCAAATGTCTTTGGTAAATACACCCTTAAGCCATATCCCCAAACGCCCTAATGCTTGCGATGTCCCCTCGTGGTTTGGTAGCACAAGGGTTCAACCTGTGCAAACCGTAAAAAATCCACAATTCGGCATCGACTTTCGTTTGAGGGGGCGTATAAGAGGTTAAAAGGCTTAACTATCTCTTTCCCAACAACTCGAGTTATTAGGGCCAAGTGGTTAGTTCGCTAACATGTTATGAACCAGTTGCTCCCAATAACTCGAGTTGTTGGGAGAAGATTATGCTGGATCTTATACCACACTCTAACACGCCCCCTCAAACGAAAGCCAACCCATTAGGGCTGGCAATTTGGTCCAGGACTGTTTGGTTTTACCCGAAACCGGATCGTATAACCCGGACTGGGACCGGATAGCAAACAATCCAATCTCATATTCGGGCTTAGATTTGAGGTAAAAAACCCGGATAAAGACCGGATAAGAGACCCCAACACTCAAATCCCCACAAGCTCAATCTAAAATCAAAATCAAATTGGGACCGGACCGGGTCAAAACCGGACCGGATCAAGACCAGAGTGTATCCAATCCAATCTTTGGTCCTTATATTCCCGAAAAAAACCGGACTGGGACCGGATCAATTTGGTCCAATTTAACCGGACCGGACCGTATAGCCACCCCTACAACCCATGAGCTTAAAGTTTGCAAAGACCCACCATACCTTGTGCTTTAATAAACTGTTAATATTGGGGGTCGTGGATATTCGAACACACGACCACTTGGTCAAACCAGCTCTGATACCATGTCATGAACCAGTTGCTCCCAATAACTCGAGTTGTTGGGAGAAGGTTATGCTGGATCTTATACCACACTCTAACAGTCCTGACTATATAATTAGCCCATATATATAACCAAATTAAGTCTTCATGCCATATATGCGGATGACATTGACTGGATCCGAGGTAGGTATTTAGGAACCCCGCAAAGACACTAATACTTAGAGTGACAATTCTCAATCCAATCCACGAATCCAATCCACCAACTTATTAAAAATATCCACCTAATCCACTCCATTTAAATCCAATCTATTTGATCCAAATTCAATTGGATTGGTGGATTCATGGATTGATCCATGGATCCAAATGGCAAATTACAGTTTGGTACCTATACTTTTTATATTTTATATTTTGGTACCCAAAATTTAATTTTTTATACAAAAAATATCATTGGAAAATTACGTTTTGGTACCTAAAAATTTTCATTATGACATTTTAGTACCTAAACTTTTCACATTTTACATATTGGTCATTGGTTGAGGATGTCATTTGGATTCATGGATAATCCACCAATCCACTTGATTCAATCCATGGATCAATCCATTTGCCACCTCTACTAATACTCATAACTTGAGTTTTAATCTGATAACCTTGAAGTAGAAAAATCCTGTTATGGGTATTAGCCATTAGTGTATTGTTCACAGCTTGAAAAAAGCTCATGCACTTGCTTTATGAACTATGAAGTCGTGGCTGGAATGGTCAAATCTAGAACTAAAACTTGAGAATGTTGCTTGAAGAGTTAGGATTAGAGGCCTAAGAAGTTATTTTCTCGCATTCACCATTGTATTTTGTCTTTTATTTTTTTTTTATGAATCGGATTATGTTATATCATTAAAAAAAAGGGATTGTTGGCAACAACCCAAACCAACCAGGAGCTATACATGTGTAACAAAACGACTACTAACCCTAGACTAAAGCCAAACAAGGAGAGAAAAACTACCAAAACACCCCCTAACTTTATCCACAAGTAGCACACTAGTTTCATTCTTGATCAACCTACAAAGAACATCCTCTCCCCAGCATAAATCCACAGGCATCGCTCACGTGAGAGATTGCTCACCAGAGAACTCCAAATGAGCTGGCTTGCCTCCTTCAATGTAGATGAGCCAGCAAAAGCTTTGACAACCCATTCCATCTCCTGGCTCCAAGAAGAACGGAGGAGGCGTGGAAATGCCTTGCCGAGCAGTACCTGAAAGAGACTTTGATACACATCACAATTCGCAAACAAATGATCAATGGACTCTATATCGTCGTCACAAAACACACAATTCAGAGCACCCTGATAACCCTATGCCACCATCTTAGCTCTAGTATTGATTCGTCCCTTTGCAATCCACCAAACCAGAAATCTATTCTTAGGTATACCAACCCCTTTCCAAACAGGCGGAGGGTGCTTTGGCCGAGTCGAATTCCACACTTTTTTCACCGAGTAACTTGACATTTCCAGCACAAGACCCCGAGGATGATTGATATTGCCAAAACGAACCACTTTTAAGCTAAAATCCGCCATCCACTTTCTCATTCGTTCTATTACATAAGTTCACATCTAAGCTTATAATCCGTCATCCACTTTCTCATTTAGTCGCGAAAGTCCCATGCATCTACACTTTTGATGCCATAGCTTTAGTTGTTAGCTAAGCTAAATAAATCGCAAACTTAACGAGATGAACACACAGATTTAACGTGGTATCCTTGGAATGCCAGGACTAATCCACGGGAGAGTCTAGCTCTCCAATAAGAAAATCGTACTATCTTGCTTGGTGTTCTCGGTCGAGTACAGAGAGAATAAATAAGGTTTGTAACCCTAGCATGCCTGCCTACGTACGTCTGCATGGGTCGGGTTTGCATGTGTTTGGGCCAATCAATTACACAAATCACCGTGGCCCAATACATGACCCATGTTACACTAACATTAGTTTGTCAATATGATATAACTAAAGTATTCGTGTCGTAACCTCTAGACATGAGATAACACGCACGTACGATAAACTTAAGTTTCGTTTCTCAGGGAACGAATAGCTTTGTTTTCATTAGATGAACCATGAACTCCACCGTTTCTCTCCACCTCCCGCTGATCTCTTCTGAGTTGGTCCAGCCCGGCCGTCCGGTTTGGATTAATTTGGCATCGCCGGCAAAACTCAGTAAGAGTTTACTGCACCGGTAACTCTTTTCCCTTGGAAAACGGCATCAATCATGTGCCGAAAACGACAACATCTCCCGTCACAGAACAACAAGCAAAATCCAGCACCGGCCTTATAAAAAAAAGAATGGCATTGATCGATCATGAAAATACACACACTCAGATAGCTACAACCAATAAGTAAGAGAATCAGATTTCGCTGTATCACTATGGTTAGTAGCAACAAAGCATTGCTATCAGCGGTAGCATTGGCGACCATAATATTGATGGTTATGGCACGTCCTTCTGTCCAGGCATCGGTTTACATCACCAATCAATTAACCAAAAAAGTACTGATTGTGCACTGTCGATCCAAAGACGGCGACCTCGGAGCCCATGCGGTAGCAAATGGGTCTACCATCCACTGGAGCTTCGGGCCCAATCTCTTTGGCGGGACACTTTTCTGGTGCAAACTCGCGGTCCAAAATAAGCGTATTTCTTTCGTGGCGTACGACGACGACAACGTTAATACCGTCAGTGACTGGATCGTTCTTGACGATGGAGTTTATGGGAGGCCCTATCAACGTCCGACCTTTCTGATGGCTGCATGGACGCGACCGAATATAAGTACGTGGATTTCTCGTGATCAGGAGAGTGCCTTTACCAGCTGATGTTAGGAACGGACGGAACAACAACCAGAACGAGGTTACCGAATCTGGAGCTGAGTCGCGGACATTTCCAACCGCTGATATTATCCAGCGATCATGAAATTACCTCTTACTTGTTGTAATATGAAGTAATTTATAATAAGTAATTATTTGGGTTTTGGTTCCCGTAAATTGGTAATATATAGATAGGCGTCGATATACTAATAGAAACACTTGATGCTTGATTGACACGACCAGTTCCCTAAAAAAACTCGATGATTCCTTTCAATTATATTAACCTAGATCTCAATTGATATCTAGATGATGAAATTCAAGACGCGAGATATAATCTTTGGAGAACTCAGTTGGATTAAAGATATTCATTATGTGGGTTTTCATCCATCCCATTGTGATTCCAACTCCCATTCTTAAATGCTTGAATGGTTTTTTTTTTTTTTTTATAGATTTGTATCTATGAACATATCTAAATCGGGCTGCTCGTTGGATACCTTGAGGTTATAATAGTTTTAAGTTATCTTCTTTTAGTTCACAGTTAACTGGAATAGAGCTGAGCTACAATACAATAACTTACATTTTTATGTATCGTTTTATAACCAAGTAATAGCATTGATCATACATCTTATCACTAACCTCATAAATTAAATGACTATGAGAAGGACTCCTCTGACTACATGATCGAAAAGTAAGGATACTCTAAGAGTGTTGATGTTATTGTTTGATCCATGTATTTATAAGAAGGCAGATCAAATGTATGTGTCGCATGACGCTACAACTTTAAGGGCAATGATTGATTTCTTCTTGTATCCAGTAATTCATCCATATGATTTTCCCCTTCCGATGAATGTAGTTAACCAAACCAATAAGACTAGGAAATCCATGTTGAGCAGTACTACGATCAAGTAGGCGGCAAAGATCTTCAACAATCAGTGCCCGTAAGTATAATATAGGTGACAGCCGAACATAATTTTCTCAAGAACTCCAGTGTGGTGCCCTTGTCGATTCAAAATATCTCATATATGGAATCGACTGAGCATCCTTATATGCAAGCATCCGGAGAGAACCAGGAAGCTTTTGTTGTGGGGAATGAGTCACGACCCACATCATCTTTGCCTTTCTTGAAGTATGATTTTTATTGAATAACATCAATTATGATTCGGTTGAAAAATGAAGGGGATATTCGATATCGCCTTGTGAAGCCCTAGCATCGTAGGTTGTATTTATGTTGAAGTAATCTTGCATAAAGCGTTTGAACCCTCTTACTTATTACTCCTCGTTGAAGTTCATGATGATGAACAATGACGCGAAATGTTGTTGTATACACTTTTGTTGAAGTACTTAGTGTACAAGGTACAACATGGAGATCTTCGTACATTCACACTCACGTTGACGCTCATAATCTCATTGCCTATTGTCTAACTTTTTATTGCCTCCGATAACCCTCTCACAAGTTTTGCAATGTTTATCACCAAATATAGTTTTGTCTTAATTGTTAGAAACTTTACACTCTAATAAATCTAAACTTTATAGATTTTATGTTTGAATCCTAGTAATGATTATTAATATGTTCGTTCATTTTTAATCAGTATTGAGTTAAAATCCAAATAATAAAAGTGACGTGAAAAATCGTGGCGACGTGGATGCTTAAGAATTAAGAAAATTCGAAATGATGGAGTGTAATTTGAGAAAGTGTATAATATATGTTTTTATTTGGATGTGTTGATGATCAGTTGGATTGATGTAATTTATTTGTAATCATAAAATTTGTGTTTATATTATTTTTTGATAAGTTGTGTTTATAATTTATATTATAAAATCCACTCTAAATTCATCTATATTTCGATTCAATATCGATTCGATGTTACCAATTAAGTGAACAAATAAAATAATTAAGAAGTAACATATTAAAAACGTTTAGTAAATTAGTAATTAATGTAACTGATGAAGTTTATCTTGTTAGTCTTACAATTGATTATCATACACATAGCAATCTTGTGTTTCTGTAAACCCGCTGAAAGTTAAAAACAGCAAATATGCAAACGACGGAAGCGCCCGGAAATAGGAAACCCTGTCCGTCCGGCCATGGAGAAAAGAGCCGTACGTCTCTCTCGAGAGCAAAAGTTGGCCGTAGAAGGCACCATCGATCCGACCTCCACTAAGACTCACATTACTAAAAAAAAACTATAAATAAGCCCTTAAAGACCTAACTCTAAAGTACCTGTTTTCGCGGTGGAAACTTTAGCGGTGTCGTGCAAACAATACTGATACATCACCATGTTCATCAGTCAGCCAGGGGCAGGGGTAGTGCTGGCCATCATGGTAATCATCATCATGGCACGACCTTCGATCCAAGAGGAGATCCATGTTACCAACAGGCTGAGCAACGAGATACTGACAGCGCATTGCCTCTCGAAAGACGACGATCTTGGCGCCCATGCCATCCCCATCGGCGAGTATATCAGTTGGGACTTCGGGGTCACAATCGGAACACATTTATGGTGCAACCTCGCGGTCGAAGGTAAGCGTCTTACTTTCGCCTCGTACGATTGGTTCGAAGCAAGTAAGAATAGTAAGAACTGGGATGTCCGTGATGAAGGGGTTTATGGGATACGGGTGAGCGATGGAGTCACATTTTTTATGGCTGCGTGGAATCAAATTTAATTTGATAAGATCCAAGGTTGTTAACCCGCGGTTTGCTGTTTTCTGACTGCGGTGATCTTGGTTGTGGCATGCACTTGGCCTGCTGGATATTGGTGTCTCTTTGGTCCTCTTGTGAACTGGTTTGTTGTTTTGTGTGTGGGCTTCTTTTGGGGCCTTCTTGTATTTTTGTGACGAGTAGAAGCGGTCTGGTCCGCTTTTCTTAGTCCATGTTTCCCGTTTCCGTTTTCTTTTCTTTTGTTTCCTTTCTTTTTTGTTTCGTATTGGGGGATATGTCCTTTTGATCTCCTTTGCTTTTGCTTGTATAGTTTTCTGTGTTAGTTTTCATATTGCAATAAAAGATCATCGTCATTATCAACAACAAAAAAAAGTTGTCAATCCGATTTAATTAGACTATTGGTCTGGTCGAGCAAGTGGGTTTGAGAGTTAATGGTCCGACTATTTTAGATCGGTTTAGCCCGAATATATGAAAATGTCATTATATTGATCATACAACTTCAACTTGTACCATGACGTTAAAGATACAAGTTCTGGTTATACCTTAAGAGAATTTGTATCATTATATTATGGTACAACTTCAAATTGTATCATAACATAAATGTATAAATTCAGGTTGTACCATAAAGAGATTTATACAAACGAGTATAGGTACAATCTGAAGTTGTACCATAATATTAAAGGTACAACTTCAAGTTGTACATTTTGTTCCATACACGCCCCCGCGCCTCGACACTATAGTGAGTTTTAAACCCCTTCAGCCATTGGGTGTAGCTCTCCTCCACAGTATACTCACTATGGGTGGCTATACGGTCCGGTTAAATTGACCCGAACTGATCCTGTCACAGTCCGGTCTTTTCGGGAATATAAGGATTAAGGACCAAAGATTGGATTGGATACAGTCCCGTCTTGACCTGGTCCAATCCCAATTTGGTCTTGATTTTAGATTGACCATGTGGGGATTTGAGTGACCTGAGGTCTCAAAGGGTGAGGAGTTGTTTAAGTTTTGGGTGTTGGGGTCTCTTGTTCGGTTTTTATCTGATTTTCGATCCGGTCCCAAACGATTTTTTACCTCAAATCTAAGCCCGAATATGAAATTGGATTGTTTGCTATCCGATCACGATCCGGGTTATACGGTCCAGTTTCGGATAAAACCAAACAGTCCCGAGATTAGATGTCCCTTTCCCATTACCTCTCAAAGGTATATATGGCTAATGGCTTGAACAGTGGTGTCATCAAAGCATGCCTCCAAAACTGGTACGTCCCATTGTTCGTGCTCCAGATCGATGAGTTCTCCAACTCTAGCTCGTATGATGCGCGCACTAAACAAAAAGGGACTTTGGTAGAGCCGGCAAAGCTATTTTGCAAGCAAAGCAGCGTTAAAACCATGCATATCTCTGAAATCCGAATTCAGATATCGTCCACCACTTGAATATTGGCGAGCGGTTCACCATCTCCAATCCAACGGTTCATAAAAATGGTCTATTTAATAAATGGTTCAGATTTGTTAGGGAAAGTAGTAGTGGATTGTGAGGTCAGCATACTGAAAAGCAGCTAACTAAAAGTTGTTTTTGGGGCCCGCGAGCTGACAAACGAGAGAGTAGGGAATACAAGTTCTTGAAAATGCTGAATATGATTTCTGTTTTGTACAAATATGTTTTGTGATCAGTAGCAATATGTTTTGTATTTAGTAAGAATATAGTTTTTTAATGCGTGGTATATTATTTTGAATAAGAGTTGTGAAAATTACGAATATAGAAATCACACATATGGAATATGTTTTCTATTCAATGCAAATATCATTTTTTGTTTAATGCGAATGTGTTTTTCTAATGTGTATTTGTTCAGTACAAATATAACTTTTGCTCAGTACAAATATGTATTTTGTTCAATACAAATCTGATTTTTGTTCAACAAGAATATACATATACCACTTGTAAATAGTATGTATAAGTTATATTTTGTTAAAAATAAATGGCCCACATGTCAGCTACTTTTTCAAGTCGTGGGTCTCATAATCCACATCTATTACTTTCATAGATCTGAGCCTTTAGTTTAAAAAAACACTTTTGTGGGCCGTTGGATGAGAATGGAGATTCATTCTCCAAAATCCTAGTGGTGGACCATATTCTGGTGGCTGAAACCCAATCTTCCCTCCGCTTTAGCACACACTAACTCCACCCGCCTAATACAGTGCGCCCGCCTCTCTCAGCCTCGTTGGCCCTACTAATAGACTAAGTTTGTAATCATATGCGTGAATCTCGTCCAGAATACCCTCCGGTACTTTGAAGATATACATGCCGCACGTAAAATACATTGTATCGATGATTGATGATGGATATAGAGTTTCCCCGTTCTCACCACTTACAGTGAAAAAAGGGGTCAATACGGTACGTTTCTTTCGAACATTATATCAATCGAGGACACTATAAAACGCCCCCAACGGCACTGACAATGAAAATGTTGCGGTTACTTAAACCGTGTTAGTATTGGGCCTTGTTGAGCCTTGTCTGATTCGTTGGATTAGAGTTTTAACCCTAAGTTTATCTATATAACATTAAGCTTAGCTATCAACTTGTGTGATAGCAAGCCGTAAAGATGTAATCCTAATAAGAGTTTAGCCGTGAGCTCTTATGAGCTCACCGTGGATTAGTCTCGATCAATCAATCGATCGAGGATACCACGTAAAAACTCTTGTGTTGTGTGCTCGTTTCCTTCCGCATCATTCATAAACCAGTTGGTCCCAATAATTCCAGTTGTTGGGAGAAGGTTATGTTGGATCTTATACAGGCCCGTGTATGGTGCTTAACCACTTCCTTACACGCCCCCTCAAACGAAAGCCGACTCATGGGCTTGAAGTTTGCACAGGCCCACCATACCATGTGCTTGAAAGACAAAGATTAATATTGGGGGTCGTGAGGACTTGAACACGTGACCTCAAGGACAAACCAGCTCTGATACCATGTCATAAACCAGTTGGTCCCAATAACTCGAGTTGTTGGGAGAAGATTATGCTGGATCTTATACAGGTCCGTGTATGGTGCTTAACCACTTCCTTACACGCCCCCTATATTACAAATGCTAATATCACCATTTAGCGGCCACCAAAAGGACACTGGTAGCGATAATTGCGACACCACCTTCCGTCGAGGAAATAGTTCACGTCGCCAATAACGTAACCGACGGCAGGGCAGTGGTGTGTTTCCTTTCTCAATTAAGAGTTAGTATTTTGTGCACTGGTTTTAATAACTCGAGTTATTGAGACCTACTAGTTCTTATAAGTACTTAAAGTATTAGTCTCACTTGGGTGGTGACAGGAACTTAGCCTTTGTAATTTTCAAACATAAGTCATCTCATCTTTAATATCATTAGCCAAATACCCTATTCTCTTTCTCATACATCTACTTCATGATCCAAGACACTAGGACTGGCTATTTGATCCGGGCTATTTGGTTTTATCCGAAATAGGACCGTATAATCCGGACTGGGACCGGAGCGGGATCAGATAGCAAACAATTCAATCCCATATTCGGGCTTAGATTTGAGGTAAAAAATTGTTTGGGACAGGATTGAAAACCGGATAAAGACCGGATAAAAGAGTCCAACACACAAAACGTAACCAACTCCTCACCCATCAAGGCCTCAGGCCACTCAAATCCCCACAAGGTCAATCTAAAATCAAGACTGAATTGGGACCAGATCGGGTCAAGACCGGACTGAATCAAGATCGAACTGCATCCAATCCAATCTTTGGGTCCTTATATTACTGAAATAATCAAACTGAGACCGAATCAATTCAGACCAATTTAACCGAACCGGACTGGACCGTATAGCCACCCCTACAAGACACGTACTCCAACCACACATCCCACAGACTCATACGATCCATCTTTTTAATTTTTCTTAAACCAAGTACTTAGTGTTGAAGGAAAGCTTGTCAAAAAGTGCCTAACTAAGGAAGCTTGCAGCAAATGGTCCAACAAGGAAACTTAGCCTCGGCAAGCAATTGAGGAAAGGTCTATCAATCAAGCGAGATCAAATCAAATCTCTAAGATTGGGAAGAAATAACGGCTAGGATAATGTATATAAGTTTAGAGGGGTGGGGAAAACTCTGCTCACCTTTTTCATGCAGTTGTTCAAAAACAGAGTCAGGGAGATAGTCTGTGTTTTGAGGGAAAAAGGAGAGAGTTGTCTGAGAGAGCTCGTAGTCGTAGAGGGTGTTGATAGTCAGGTTGAGATATTGGCAGGGAGCTATCATCTCAAGCGGGACTCTGATCAAGTGACAGGGAGTCACTACGAGATTGGTTCTGTACCATTGTAACCTAAACTCAAAATTATAGTGCAACGTCAAAGGACTCAAACTGAGTACCTTTGACCGTGGATTAGTCGATACTGAATTCATCAATATCGGATACCACGTAAAAATATCGTGTCTGAATTTACTTGTGCTTTATTGTGTTTTATATTCTTTCAGTTCTTATAAGTGTTCTTGATTTGATGCGAGTGTGAACTTTGTGAAGAACAGGTTTTGATCGATCTACACAAGGAAAGGAGAAGGATACTGAGTTCTCCAAACGCAGTGTTTTACTCAAGTGACTTGGGGCGTTTTAACGTTGACAGTCTGATAAGAACCTAAGCCCAACTCATTTCGAGACAAAGTGACAGATCCGTTGTCGTTCTAATAAACATCCAAAAGAAAGTTGCTTTCCCTTTCCTCGACTTGATTTTCATTTCACTTCACCTTCTCTCACTTGATCTTGTCAAAATTGAAACTAGGGTTCTTCAGAGTCCTACTTGATCGAAGAAAAAGGGGGATCGTCGCCTGAGTCTCGCGCTCGACTCAACCAACACTTAGTGCACGAGGCATTCATACATCATGAAGATCATTGTACATTCATGCTCAAGTTGACACCCATACTCTTATTGACAAGGATAAACTTTGTTTAGCCTCTCATAAGTTTTGCAACCAATATCATCAAATATATTTTTGTCTTAACTTGTTAGAAACTTTACACTAATAATCTAACATTATAGGTTTTGTGATTGAATTATAGTAACGCTTATCAATATGTTCGATTATTTTTAATTTGCGTTGATTTTAAGAAGTAATAAAACTGACGTGAAAAATCAAGCTAACATGGATGCTTGACAATTGAGAAGTATAAATGTTGAATTTGAGAAAATGTATACCATACTGTATTAGTTTTAGATGAATTGATGATTCGGATCGAAGTAATTTATTCATAATCCTAAAATTTATGTTTATATTATAAGATTCACTCTAAATTTTGATTCAATATCGATTTTATCGATGAAGTGAAAAGATTAAAAATATTGAAAGTGACATGTTAAAAATGTTTGAGTATATATAGTAATTAATATAATCGGTGCGGAATATATCTTATTAGTACTTCAAGTAATATAATCAAATAGAATTTATCTTGCTGGTTAGAAACTTTTACACTATAAAAAATCTAAACCTTATATATAGAGAAAAAAATAAATCCGCGAAGTGTTTTATTGAGAAATCCTTGTATATTATATAGATATAGATTAATACCGTGGATTATCATACAAATAGCAATCTAGTCGTTCTGTTAACCCATGAAAAGTTAAAGCAGAAACATCGCATCTGCAAACAACGGCAATCGAGAATATGCCCAAGTATGATGAGCCAAAAAGACAACTAAATTATTTGCAAAAAAAAAGGCCAAATCCAAAGGAACAAGAGCCGTACGTACGTCTCTCTCAAGAGCAAAAGCTGGTCAGATAAGGCACCATCGATCCCACCTCTACTAAGACTCATATAAATTACTAAAAAAAAACTATACATAAACCCTCAAGACCCATACTCTTAAAGTACTTCGGTGTCGTGCAAACAGTTTCTAATACATCATCACCATGATCATCAGTCAGCTAGCTGCGTCGGCGGTAGCTCTGGCCATCATGGTAATCATAATGATGGCACGACCGGCGATCCAGGAGGAGATCCATGTCACCAACAAGCTGAGCAGCAAGATACTGATAGCGCATTGCAAGTCGAAAGACGACGATCTTGGCGCCCATGCCATCCCCATCGGCGAGGACATCGGTTGGCAGTTTGGGGGCAAAGTCGGAACACATTTCTGGTGCGACCTCGCGGTCGAAGATAAGCGTCTTACTTTCGTCTCGTACGATTGGTGGGACGCAGATAGGTACAGTAGGAACTGGGATGTCCGTGATGACGGGGTTTATGGGACACGGGTGCGTGATAGCCTCACGTTTTGTGCGGGTACGTGGAGGCAAATCATATTTGATCAGATGCTGTGAATATAAGTTAAGTTTGTGTCTTTGATTCACGGTGAAGGTTGAAGGGTGGAGGTTGTCCGATAAGTAGAGTTTTTGTAATCAATTGTTTATGTAGCTTATCGAGATTATGATTATGTAAAGTTATTATTTAGTAATTAGTAGGGTAGGTAGTGGTGACTGAATTTGTGGGTGTCTCTCATTCTCGACTCAATTCAGTCCTACCTTTCTCAACCATTATTTTGGACCACGACAACCAAATTAAAATGATCACGAAAAATTAAGGGTTTTTATCATTGACAAAGTGGTTGCGATAGCTTTACTTTTCGTTGCCAATCACTATTTTCGTTGCGTTAGGTATTCGTAATGCAGCAACAACGACCAATTCTGCTACCAAAATTTTGTGGTTGAGAGAAAGTACTAATGACCGATTTCTAACATTTAGGACCAATTAATTGGTTGCAAAAATAGTTTTTCCTTGTAGTGTGTTGACGGATTTTGGATTGGATTCGGGTAAAACTCGAATTTGGATCTCTCGAGTCGGACCAAGTGCGAGTTCGGCCGATACCCAGCTCGATAAGAACTCTATCCCCGCACACAAAACAACATCGGTTTTGATAAACACATAAACATAATAATTTGTGGATACATTTTCCAATATTAGATGATGTTTGGGATGGAATATTATTAGTGTGATGTGTACACAATTTGTGCATGTTATTGGTCTTTCGCCACAATTTAATAGAAAGAAGAATATTGAATAGGAGTGTGAGTATTTGAAAGATATTATTCGCAATTATATCTTAATCACATGTGTGCCGAATGGATATTATTTACTTTCTAGCACCCAACAAGTATGTTACTAAAATTTGTGGATAAGTGCTTTTCATAAGTTTCTTACCTATCTAATTTGGGGAAAAAAGGTATAATATATTGTATTCTCTCCACCTCAAGCTCCCCGCTTTACTTTTCTTAATAGCCGGTTTTGGTCCTCTCATTTTGGCCGGGAACGATTGGGCATCGCCGGCAAAAAGCGTAAAATTAAGTCAGAAACAGTTTCATTCACCGGCAACTCTTTTTTTCACGCGTGCGAAGGGTCAATACGGCATCACCATATGCCGAAAAACGACAACAACTCTCGTCGCCTAAAAATAAGTAAATCATCATATCGATCGAGCACTATAAAAACCCAACGCTCGGCAATGATCACGAAAATATACAAAAATACTCATATCACCCTTTAGCGACCACATATGGTGACTAACAGGGCATTTGTAACGGCGGTAGCTTTAGCGACGACAATGATCACCGCGCTCGCGCCGCGATCTTCCGTCCAGGAAATAGTTTACGTCGCCAACAATGTAACCTACGGCAAGGCAGTAATTGTGCATTGTCAATCCGGAGACGACGATCTCGGCGGCTTCGCGGTGGCCGTCGGGTACCGCATCCATTGGCAATTCTCGCCGAATTTATTCGGCGGGACGCTTTTCTGGTGCAAACTTGCATTCGAAGATCGGCGCGCTTCTTTCGTGGCATACGACCAAAGGACTTCTCCAGAAACCGTAAAATGGACTGTCAATGACGACGGGGTTTACGGGAAGCTCCACGGCGGAACGCCGTATTTACATGCTGCATGGGTGCTAGTTTTCGCCAATTAGTCCTTCAACCAGATACTTTTCTTTGATTCCGGTGTGTTTCAATAACACGAGTTATTGAGATTAACTGGTTCTTTACATGTTATTAGAGTCTTCTTCTGTAATCGAGAGGTCTTCTTTTCGAATCACAATGACCTGATCATATTGTTGAAGCTGCTGAAGTTGAGGATATTGAATCCTCTTGGTGGAGCTGGAGAAGAGGGTCTTGGCGCGCGAAGGAAGATCATTTGAAGCTTATTAAGTCGTTTGAGTCAGACAGTATCGTTTTGAGTCTCTGTGTTTAGTCTTTAAAGTTAGTTCTATTCTGTGTCAAATAAGTCCAATCTGAGTTTCATGTGTTATGATAAACTTGGAAGTCAAGTATGTTATGTTATTAGAGTATTTAGCTGGTTTTAGCTAGTTAGCATGAATCAAGAGGTAAGGGGTTAGTGGCTTAGTGCAGTTAGTGGAAGCCGAAGCGACGGGCTTCAAGTCTTGTACATATAATGAAATTATGTTGTTTTAATGAATTTTCTTCGTTCTAGTGAATTATTGTCATACTTTTTTTCATTCTAGTGACATATTGGTTGAGTTATAAACAGAAACTATTACCCTGCATGGATAACCGTGGATATCCGAAACCCGAACGGGTATGAGTATAGTTTTGTTTTTTTACCTGTTTCTTATGTGAGTATGGGTAAAACCCAAACTACTTTGGATAGGATAATGGATATGCACTATCCGTCCCCGATCCGACCCATTGCCAATAAGCACAAGATATATAAATATGTACAAATTTAAAATGCATACAAGTCGGTTTTCATAGGGCTGTTATTGAACTAAGCCGCTCATGAACGGCTCGGTGTGCGACTCGAGAAAAACTCGTTCGTCACTCGATTCGTTTTAATCGATTCGGCTTGCGAACAAGCTAGTTAACTAAACGAGCCGAACTCGAGCCATACCATGTTCAGCTCGAAAGCTCGCGAACAAGTTCATTTAATGGTTTGGCATAAAAAAAGAATTTGAATTCATGGATTTTATGTATTGAAATTGGGATAAGTATTGTGTTTTACTTTGCTACAGATTTGAATGTAATTTTGTGTGCAGTTCTAGGTCAATCTTCAGCTATCATGAACATTTTATGAGCTGAACTCGATTTTGGGCTCGTGAAGCTTATTTGACGAGCCGAGCTCGAGTCGAGCTCGATCTTTCATTTTCATAAACGAGCCGAGCTCGACTCTGAAAATATATTAAAAAGCCGAGCCCGAACTATGGCAAAGCTCGGCTCGACTCGGCTCATTAACAGTCTTAAGAGATAGATGTTGGGACTTGGGAGCAACTAGCTCTTGTAGTATTTAATTAATCTATGGGCTAATACCACTACAACACCCGAACTATGACAAAAATGCCACTTGTGTCCTATTCTTTTCAATATTCCATTTCTGTCCTAAACTATGATACTTTGTGTCATTTGTATGCTAGCGATTTTGTTGACCGTTAGATTTAACAGTTGACCAGACGGTTTTGAAAATGACGTCAGATTGGGGTCGATGTGGCAGCAACGTGGCAGCCATGTCATATTTTAATTAAATAATAATTAAAATTTATAAAAATAATCTCAAAATTTAAAAATTCCATTAGCCTCTCCATTCTTTGTCCCCGACCATTCGCCAGCAAAAACCCAAACCCTGGCCTCTCTGTTCTCTGTCCCCAAATCGACGCCACCAGACCTCCTTGTTTCGAATCCAAGACGAACATCACCAGCCGGAAGACAACCGGGGCTAAATTTCTAGACACATCACCAGCCAGAAAACATCGCGAAGAAAAGGCGGTGGCTAAATTTCTAGATTGTGCGGGAAGACAACCGAGACTTACAGATCAAGCACAGCAAAAGGAGCGAGTGATTCGCGCCGAAAATGGGATGGGTGTGGAAGGACGACGATGAATCGGAAGAATTCAAGTCTTCGTCCTCCGCCGGCAAAATTGAAGCCTACAAGAAGCAGTCGTCCGATGAGGTTTGCTCGACGAGGAAAGTGGTGAGGTCGAATTGGAATAAGAAACCCGCCTCCGCCGATAAAGTTTTGCGAGTCTTCTTGGCTGAACGATGCCTTTGCTGAATCTCTAAATCGGGGGAAGGATGGGGATTAGGGAGAGACAGATCTAAGATGGAGACGGATTGGTGGCGGAGGCGAAACAGTGGTGATGGAGAAGGAAAGGGAGGATTGCTCGAAGGAGGTTCTGGGTGGTGGTGGAGCGATGACGAACTGGTGGTGGATGGTAGTGTATCGGACGGGAGGGTTATTCGTGGTGGGGGTGGCGATGGCAAAACTGGTGGCGGCGGATTGGTTCAGGTAAGATGAAGAGGCGGATTGGGTCAAACCAGTGTATCAGAGGGATGATTGCGGTGGTGGCGGATTGAGTCGGTAAGAGGAAGAGGATGAGCAAGCTCGGGATTGGGATTGGGAAGATAGATTAGTAATTTTTAATTTTTTGCTTTTTTTAATTGTTATTTAATTATTTAAAAATTCCACATCAGATGCCACATCAGTGCTGACTAGATTTTCTGTTAAAAACTAACGGTCAACAAAAGTCAACACTAACGGAATCATAGTTCAGGACACAAATGGAATATTGGAAACAATAGGACACAAGTGACATTTTCGCGATAGTTTGGGTGTTGTAGTGGTATTAGTCCTTAATCTATTTCTAAATGATATACAAGAACTGCATGATATTTTGACTCGCGATCATGGTTGATGGTTTCCAAAAAAAAAAATTGATCGAGGAGTCACGGAGGAGTGGTTGACAGTAGTTAACAACATAATCCTACGAGGATATGATGCGGGTGTGGATTTTTTTTTTTTTATAGAGATGCGGGTGTGGAATTGTAAAGGCTGGCAGCACTAAAAACTTTTTATCTCAATATAAATAAAAAAGTAAAGGAAATTCAAAATAATGGGTTTTAATTTGTTCAATTGTTTTGGGTACTGAGGTTGACTAGGCGGTCAACTTCTGTGACTCAGCATTTCTATTAGCCCGTTCACCATTTTCGTTTTTCACGTCATAAAAAATCTGACGATGTTAATTGGGTATGACGAAGACTAACTGCAGATGATTAACAATGTAACGATTTGTAAAGTAACTGAAGTATAACAATGAAAAAAATTTCAAATATGTTTATATCAATACACTTGTTTTGCAAATAGAATGATCCAACCGTAGTACAATTAGTGTTTTATACCAATTTTAATAAAATATATGAGAACAATGAAAATCATCAATACCAAATAAATTAGTATGTAAAAAAGGGTTAATTCACACAAAATATTTATCGGCCAAAAGGGTTATTACCAAAGTACTGTCCGAGAAAAAGGGTTTTAGAGTCCCTCCGTTCTCTCCACCTAGCTCCCGCTGATTTCTTCCGAATAGCCGGTTTTGGTTCTCTCATTTTGGCCGGGAACGATTCGGCATCGCCGGCAAAAAAACGTAAAATTAAGTCAGAAACAGTTTCCTTCACCGCCAACTCTTTTTTTCCACGTATATACTTCCCCAAAATCAAAGCTTCCGACGTGCGAAAGGTCAATACGGCATCACCATATGCCAAAAACGACAACAACTCTCGTCACCTAACAAAAAGCAAATCATCAGCTCGATCGATCACTATATAAAAAAAAAAAAAAAAAACTCATCTCACCATTTAGCGACCAAATGGTCACCACGGCGGCGGCCGGCCACGTCTCCTTGCTGCATGGATGCGATTTGGGGAACGTCCTTGAGCCTTAGCCATGTTTGCATGGAATTCGTCACCGCGGTACTACTTCTTCTTTGATTTTTGGGTGTGTTTTTTTTTTCCTGTCTCCTGTAAGAGACGGTGCTTCTTCTAAGTTGTAATGAAGAACCGTTCACTAGATTCATGGTCTAAGGTATAACCGTATAAGATTTCGGCTTCAAGTACCTTGAAGTAGCGGCGGATCCACGGGCAGCCCCGGGTCACGGTCCAACCCTCCTTTGGATCCAGAGCTAGCATAGTTCTTGTAAATTTTTCGGTTTTCGGTGTTAATTTCAGTGTTCGTTGGGTTACTGCCTAGTACTCTTCGCCTCCTTTCAAATATGGCCCAATGCTCTATTCTATTCTGAATCCGCCGCTACCTTTATTAGTTGTCAGAAGAATTATAGATATAATATGTTCATATCTCTATATACTATCAAATATGATATATCTCTATAATTTTTTATATATAAAACATGTCCAGATACTAGGGCTGGCTATTTGGACCGGGACCGGATGAAAAACCGGAAACCGGACCGTATAACCCGGACCGAGACTGGACCGGGACCGGATAGTAAACAATCCAATCCAAAAACATGTTTACAAATCGAATATGTGATAAGTTCGTGAATGATTGTCTAGTAGGGTATACAGAGATAATTCTTTTAACACTATAAACACCAAGTGTATTCTACAATTATTTCTGAATATGAAAACACATCATGAACTCTTTTAACCTGTTAGAGTAAGGTATTTTCTTATTTATGATTTTATTTTTAGTAATTATTTTATTTTTATTCAATTTATTTTTTAAATGAGAACACCTCTATGAAAAATTTCTGGGTCCGTCACTGATTGAATATCTTCTAATAGTTCAAATTATTGGTAACAGTACTTGACACTATAAATGAGAGCGACAATTTTGTGGAACAAAGAAACAAACTATAAATGAGAGTGACAATTTTGTAAACCTTATCAACGTTGACATATTTTCTAGGTAGTTTCGACACTTGGTCAAAATAATAGCTCTTTTCAGCTTTGGACTTATCTTTTATACATACAGTTAAATAAGAGTAAAGATTACCTCTTCTAAGCCGTCTTCATTGCACAATTTTCACTATAAATAAAAGGATCACCGGCAATAATTAGTACCATAACCTCATTATCATAACCAAGCGAGAAAAACTATGTTTTAAATGATCTTTCAATGACCGGCAATCGGCCAGTGACCATCCACAAAAAACTACTAGCGACGATATTTTTGGCGACGGTTATCATAATCATGTCACGCCCCTCAATCCAGGACAGGATTCATGTCACCAATATGCTGAGCAACAAGATGCTGATAGTGCATTGTCGATCCAAGGACGACGATCTCGGTGGCCATGCCATTGCCATCGGCGAAGAGGTCAGTTGGCATTTCGATCCTGACTATTTTGGTCTAACGACATTTTGGTGCGATCTCGCGGTTGAAGATAAGCGTCTTTCTTTCACGGCGTTCAACGATGACGGTGACAAACCGTACATCGAATCGTGGGAGGTCTACGACGATGGAGTCTACGGGAACAGAAGTCTGCCCGGCGAACGGTTCATGGGCGCATGGAGGCAAATTGGGATAATTAATTATATTAGGTCCCCAAAGGGTTTGTGAGTGTTTATGGTGCTTAATTACTGATGAATCACTTCCTTCTCCTCTGTAATTATTTCCTTCCATCTTATAGGCGCTTACTTTAGCTGGAGATAGTTCAATAAATTAAGTGATGAAGGTTGTAAGAAGAGGTTGAGATGGTACTGATTTGAGTCGAGTCTTCTGCAACCAAGTTTCCTTTTGCGACGGCGCAGATGATCTTTAGTGACCAATTGATATATTTGTTTAACGACTAGCTTTATTCACGAAAAAAAGTTATGAAACGGGTTTTTTTTATAAAATGGCTTTTGACCTCTTGCTGCGAGTAATTAATGATAGGCAACCATCAGCGGACTGAATTGTATCGAAATGATATTTGGACAGAATTAGACCAATTTGAATATGATTCGGTTTTGATCTTATTAATTATTTTAAGTGTGCGAAAATTTACATCAAAACTGAGCTTGAACCGGACCGAATCTAACCATATATGAATTTGGTCCTCATTTTCCCTTTATTTTTTGTCCGGTCCTATCTCAAGATTCGATTCTGGACCGAATCCATCGATGCCCATGATCACTACAAATAATTAATAAGAAGTATATTGGCTGAGGGCACTATCCTTCCCATATTTTTCATTTACAAGAAAAATGATAAGTTACTACAAATCTTACTGCCAAAGGTAAGTAGACAAGTTCTCCCACTCTTCTCTACCTCTCTATGTAAGTATTCTTCTCCTTGTTTGCGGGATGATAAGAAATGGACACTAATTGAAATGATTACTGAAAATTGGAGATGAGGTAGACATCTAAAATACTTTGAGTATCACTTCAGTATGATTATTGAAGTAATTAATTATCTTTCATTGATTTGCCACCAATAAATTCATTTATAGTTAGACTCCTAAAGTTTTGTTCGTCTAGGAGGTGAGGTGACAAAAAAATCCACCACCACAATATTTAATCCAAACGACTCCTTAGACTCCTAAAGTTTTGTTCGTCTAAGGGTGTGAATTGGTATCTTTAATGTGCGCCAAAGACGCCGGTCAAATCATATATCTCAGACTTTCCATAAAACTTTGAAGTTGTGCCAAGTTACCTTGTCTCTTTTATCATCCTTGGATAACTTGACTCCGTCACTCAATTGGTGTGCTTACTGGATTACAATTATCCTATTCAAGCTTCTTCAAGAAACTGCGTAAGTATATGATGAATTCGTTGTGTGTGATCGACCACGTACACACTGCCGACTAAATATATGCTTTTGTATGTGAAGTGCAAACTGCAAAGAGAATTGGCATCTCCAGTGGCCGGCGGCGATGGGGTTCGCATACAAGAGAGTTTTGTTCCGTCGCCAGAGAACAAAGCACAGCTGAGAGTTGCCGATCGGTAACAGAACATCAGCAAAATTAAACGACAAATAGTAAGCATAGAGGCAGAGGACACCATCCCTCCTTAATTAATTCAATACAATATGGTGAAGGTTCCTATCACGACCCATCATCAATTGTACTATAAATAAAAAAGATTAAACAGTAGCCAAATACTTCTACAAAAAGGAAAAAAAAACTGCCCACAAAAAAAAAAGAAAAAAAAACTATAGAACCCACAATGGTTATCCACAAAAAGTTACAATTCGCGGCGGTTTTATTAGCGACAGTGGTAGCAGCTTTAGCGACCAATCAGCCCGATAATCTCCCCAACGAGCTGACGGTTCATGTTATCAGCAACTTGAGGGACAAAATACTGATAGTGCATTGCCAATCCGAAAGCTTCGATCTCGGTGCCCGTGTGCTCGAGATCGGGCGCGGCTTCAGTTGGGGCTTCAGGCGGAAGTTCAATACCCATTTCAGGTGCGATCTCGCGGTTGAAGATAAGCGTCTTACTGTCGATGCATTCGTGAATGGCGGCACATATCGAAAATACATATATGTCCGGGATTCTGGGGTTTACGGGGAGGATCTCATTGCTGTGTGGAGGCAAATTTGACTGCCCTAGGGTGTTCTTTCAATAAAAAAAACCCAGACAATTTGTTGCTTGGATTTGGGCTCGAATGACTTGTTGGGAATTGGATATGGCATTTCAATCAAAGAAATAAAAAAAATATATAATGTTGCCCTCCATCTTCTTCGTTCTTCTCCGCGGGAAAACCCAGAACCCATAACCCTACGGAAAAGTCGAACTCCAATTGTCTCCCGAAGATCTTCTTTTCTTCCTTCTTCCTCTTTAGCAAACCTCTTGTCCCTCTAATTTTAATTGTATCTAATACGGACCCGTGTATGATACTTAACCACTTCCTTACACGCTCTCTCAAACGAAAGCCGACTTATGGGTTTGAAGTTTGCACAGTCCCGCCATACCATGTGCTTGAAAGACAACGGTTAATATTGAACGTCGTGAGTAGGGCTGGCTATTTGGACCTGGACCGGATGAAAAACCGGAAACCGGACCGTATAACCCGGACCGAGACCTGACCGGGACCGGATAGTAAACAATCCAATCCAATTTTTGGGCTTAGATTTGAGGTAAAAAACCGGATAAAGACCGGATAAGAGAGCTCAACACCCAAAACTTAAGGGCAATTTGCATAAACGGTCACAAACCTTTGCACTTAGTACAAAACTTAACCAACTCCTCACCCTTTTAGGCCTTAGGCCACTCAAATTCCCACAATCTCAATATAAAATCAAGACCGAATTGGGACCGGACCGGATCAAGACCGGACTGTATCCAATCCAATCTTCGGTCCTTATATTTTCAAAAAAACCGGACTGGACCGGATCAATTTGGGCCAATTTAACCGGACCGGACCGTATAGCCACCCCTAGTCGTGAGGACTTGAACACGTGACTTCAAAGACAAACCAGCTCTGATACCAAGTCATAAAATCAGTTGGTCCCAATAGCTCGAATTGTTGGGAGAAGGTTATACCGGTTCTTATACAGACCCGTATATGATACTTAACCACTTCCTTACATAAACCGACCCCCAATCAATTAATTGAGGCCCTACTAGTCGATAGTTTGTTGCATTTGATTCGTGTTTATTTCTTTTACTCTTAACAGCCTGTTTGTATACAACTCCATAAGAAATCAGAAATTGAAATGAAATTCTATTTCCAATTCAACTTTTATGGATTCCATTTTCAATTTTTTGCAATTGACATAATCCAACAATTATGGAAATAAATTGTACTTTTAGCAAACATTAATGATATTATAGGTTTTTTAATCTTTAGAAATAAAATGTAAATGAGAGAGAGAAATAGATAAATATGATAGTGAAGTGATATAATAATAATAAATATGAATGGGTTCCACTAATTCCATCAACATAAAATCATCCAGTTCCTACCACTTTTAATATGAATATTAATTTTCAAAATTTGAGTAAAATAGAATTAATTTCCGAACCTTCTTACCATTCCAAACATGGAATAATGAAATGGAAATAGAATTCTAATCCTGTTTTTTTATTTTTTTGTCCATCCAAACAGGAGGCAAGAGATTAACATCTTCTTAAAACTTTTTCCAAAGTTACGCTGGATTTTATATTACTCTCTAACTCGCCGCCTCAAATGAAAGCCAACCCAATAACTCATGGGCTTGAACTTTGCATAGGTCCACTATACCTTGTGGTTTAATCAACTGTTAATATTCAGGATCGTGGAGATTCGAACAAACGATCACTTGGTCAAACCAGACTCGGATAACATGTCATAAACCAGTTGGTCCCAATAACTCGAGTTTTTGGAATAATGTTATGCTGGATCTTATATCACACTCTAACATAACGTTTGGTATAAATGAATTTCACTCCAAAATAAGGTATAAATGAATTCTATAAGTTTTGAAGAATTCATTTTGAAATGAAACAATTTTTGTGTTTGGTATTTAAAAGAATTCATTTTCAATTCTATGGAATTGAAACTAGTTATAGCAATTCCGAGGAATTGAGATGGAATTTCAAAATGAATTCCACAAGTATTTACTAATTTTGTTTTTTGGTAAAAAAGTATTTACTAATTATAATAGAATGATATGATTATTCTCTTTTACTCGCTAAATTACTTATACATATGACATACCAATCATATGAATTCTACATGACAATTCATTTTATTTCTAAAGATTTGAATATGATATAGCAAACACAATATTTAATTTGACAATGAATTCTACATGGTAATTCATTTTACAGTGAAATAAATTCTCGATTCATTTGGTAACAAACAGTCCTTAACAATATCATTGAAAATAACAATAAGTGTATTTTCACTTTACTACTCGATATGATTTAGGCAAATACGTCTCTGACCTATCCAATTTTCTGGCATAATACTTAAGAACATCTGGATTCCAGTAGAGAAAAAAATTTAATCAATATGATTGTGCAGGTTGTCAAAATATAGAAATTACACCAAACCCACATTCCGTGAAATTGCGAGGAAAAAAAAACCGCACCAAAATTCTTAATCCAAACGAATCCTTACACTCCTAAAGTATTGTTCATGGAATGGGTTAGGGTGATTACTTGTTTTTTAGTAATCACGGTGGCAACCTCTTTATATACCATTTGATTAATTGTTTTCTCTTCTTTTTTAACCTTACGGTCAAGATTCTTTTAGCGTAATTTTGGAAATTAAAAAGTGACCACACCTGATTATTCTATATAATTTACCTAAACCCTAGTTCTATCCTCCCTCCAGCCAAACCCATCGCAGCCGACTCCACGTACCACTCCCGTCGCACCGCAGGCATGCAGCCCCGACCACCGCCGGCAGCAGCCCCCCTCGGTACCCTCCCTATCTCTCTCTCTCTCTACCCTTTCCCCTCATCTACTCAGAAATCATCGCCCCGCTGCTATCCATGGCGATCCCGATGTCGAAGACGCTGTGCTACTCGCCCTACTCTTCTTCGTGTCGTCGGCACTGTCCGCCTCCGACGTCCTGTTCATCGTGTCCCACAAGAAGGCAACATCAGCGCCGGACTTCACCGGCCTTCCTGAGCTCGTGATGTTCACCGCACATTACCCATCCCATGATGCTGCCACAGGGAGCTGCCAGACATCCTGCGGATGCTTATTTTGCTTTTGTTCTTGTACCATTTCATTTCCACGCACTGATGTTGCCTTCTATTGTTTTTGTTCTTGTACCATTTCATTTCCAGGCGCCGATCACGTCTCCGTCTCCATCGACATCTACAATCAAGGATCCTCGTGAGTTTTCACTTCCCTTTTATTGATTGGTAGTTTTCCATGTCGTAATTTCTACATTTGAGTGGTAGGTCGTCCTTGTATTGGTAGTTTTCGTAATTTTTACATTGGTAGGTCGTCCTTGTATTGGTAGTTTTCGTAAATTGAGTGGTATAGATTGTTTATATTGGTAGTTTTCGTGTAATGGTATAGATTTATTTTTGCAATGGTATTGATTGTTTATGGTATAGATTGTTTATATTGGTAGTTTTCGTGTAATGGTATAGATTTATTTTTGCAATGGTATTGATTGTTTATATTGGTAGTTTTTGTGTAATGGTATAGATTTATTTCTACAATGGTATTGATTGTTTATGGTATAGATTGTTTATATTGGTAGTTTTCGTGTAATGGTATAGATCTATTTATGCAATGGTAGTTTTCGTGTAATGGTATAGATTTATTTCTGCAATGGTATTAATGTTTTTCAAAGTGGTAGTGTTTGTCTAATGGATTGGTACTGTTTTCGTTTTTTCTTTCTTCAAAAAGATTGAGAAAAATATGGAAAGGAAATCTGGCTGGAGATCACGGAAGTGAGAGAAAGAGAGAATTTTAATTAATAGATTTTTGTAACTATCTAAAATGTAATTTATTAAAAAATTAATTAATATAATTATTTTCCCATACCCAATTTCTACTTAGTTTGTAGTAATCACCGTTACCTGTCCCTATTGTTCATATAGGAAGTCTGATTAGGTGTCTCTAATGTCCGCCAAAGGGGGGTCAATTAATTGATATTCAAAAGAGTTTTGTGTATTATTGGAAACTCTTTTCCACGCATCCCCAAAGAACAAAAAGGGAAGACGACGAAAAATTAAGGACCTTTGACCAAAGCGGCAGAGGGGACTAACTCTCTTTCGTCTAATGAATAAGAAGGTATGTTTTCGAAATCAGAACCAACGTGAATCGAAAAAATAGTAGTTTATGATTCAACGATTAATTATTATTGTAGAACAGTTGATTAACCGTTTAAAAATAATTTCTTACGTTATAACATAAATGTCATATCTAATACGCTAATTTATCGCTAAGCACAAAAAATTAAATTATATCATCTATCATCAAAACTTCTAGCAAATAATTCAAACTATCTCACAAAAGAAATTATAATTTTTTTTGTTCAAATTAGTAATTAGGTGACAATCCATAGTCGGCCAATCATAAAATTACTAATTCATGTCGGGTGGTCGGGTGGTCTTAGTTACGTTAAAATTATATTTTTTTGATTTTTCGTTTGTTAAAATAGCGAATCAATGGACCAGTCAGATCGAAGTGGTTCATCAGCTCGTTTCATGTCAAACCGTTGAAAACTGTTATGTCCATCCCAAACCGTAAGAGAAAATGAACTGAATCACTATTATAACCGGTTTAGTAATTCTACTGATCCAGCTAGGGGTGGCGGTCGGTTACTTTCGGTTATAACCGGTAACCGAAAGGCCGGCCCCCCAACCAACAACCGACCGAAATAGGCTTCGGTTATCTCGGTTATCATTTAATCGTACCGCCTTCAAGACCAAAACCATCTCGTCCAGCCTCCGATAACCGATCGAATTTCGGTTATGTCGATTACCGATTAGTGGATAACCAGCCGGTTATCGGTTTAACTGGTAACCGAAACTTCACCCCTATATCCGGCCGATAAACCTAGTTCGGTTCTCATAGAAGACACCAACATCCCAAACTCATCCTCAATGCGGTACTATTAAGTATTAATACAAGGAGCACCGGCAGAAGATCAATCGCAAGGGAAAGGCATACATCTTACATCAAAATGGCCGTCCACAAAAAGTTATCATTAGCGACGTTTGTTTTAGCGACGATGATAATCATCGTCGTGGCGCAACACTCGACCCACCAGACCAAGCCGACCGTTCAGGTCATCAATCAGCTGAGCAGCAAGGTACTGATAGTCCATTGTGCATCGAAAGACGACGATCTTGGGGCCCACGCCGTCGAGATTAATGTCGCATTCCAGTGGAGTTTCAATACGATTCAGGTCGGCGGGGCAACGCTGTTCTGGTGCAATGTAGCGGTAGAAGATAAGCGTCTCTCTTTCGTGGCGTATGATCAAGGTCTTAAAAATTCATTTAATTACCCTTACTGGCTTGTCCGTGATGATGGGCGTTATGGGCAAGTAGGCACCTTTCAACTGTTTGTACGTGCATGGAAGCGAACTTGACCAACTCGTAGTATGCTGATGAATTTTCGATGGTGTATGGTGCTTGCGAATAAGGGGTTGATCTAGTGGTAGGTTTGCGTTTTAATTACTTCCACACGGACCAACCGTTGATTGCTCCTGGTGAAAGTTGCAAGTACTGAAGAAAGTTGGAAGTGAATTGCTAGACCAATTTTCTTAGTAACTAAGTTTGCAGCCATATATAGCAAAATCAGCAGCAACAATAACGTGACTGTAGTAACAGAAACAACTCCAGCCAGCTCAATTGAAGTTATTGACCTCTGATATGTTGATTCACAGATATGAAGATGGGTCCAAACTAAGATGGAAAATGGAGGCCAGATCTATCACAGATCTGGCTTGTTTTCTCCTCTTCTTTCCTTTGTCTACCTCCTTATTTTTCATTGTAGATTTTGAGAATTCGGAGTTGCAGCGCTTGGCGAGGACACGGTCTGGAGAGCTTGAAGTCGGACGATTTCATCTCTCTGGCCCCTTCACCGGCCGACCGGTCGCGCTGCTCGTTTCCCCTGCGTTTTGTCAGCAGATGGCTGTGGGTGAATGGCTCGGGGTGATTTGCACGGAAGCCTCTCTTCCTGATCATCCTATCATCTGGGTTCGGTGAAATCTGATCCATTCTTGTCGTGAGGTGGCGGTGGCTGGTTGGGGCCGGCGCTGCTATCAAGTTCAAACGGTGGTGGTGATTGCGCTGCGGCGGTAGAGGAGTCCAGAGGGAGGCTGACGGTTTGCTAGGGTTTGTGGGGCCAAGGCATTGTTTGGTTCATCGGTCAGGCCTTATTGGGTTCCCAGATTTCTTTTGGGCCTTTTTTGTTTGGGTTTGCTAACATTTTTTTTCCATATGTATCATTTTCGTTTAGGTTTGTCCCGTTTTGCATTCTTAATGAACTGATTTTAATAGAAATCTTTCTATCCCATGTTTAACTCCTTCAGAAACTTTCTAAGATGTTTTGTATGATACACACATAATGTCACAACAACATACTCAGTTTTACAAGTAGATAAAGTCACAAAAGCTTGTTTCTTTGAACTCCAATAATACAAATCCTGCAATGTCTCATGCAATCATCCACATCTCCTTCCCAATCACTATCGTAGCATCTAACCAATTTGAAAATTCCCGGTTTCACATAGAACAGACCATAGTCATTTGTACCTTTTATGCAACACAATATTATCTTAGCAGCATTACAGTGTGATATTGTGGGTATGAAAAAGAGAGGGTAGAAATTAGGGGTGGCTATACAGTTCGGTCCGGTTAAATTGGCCCAAATTGATCCGGTCCAGTCCGGTTTTTTTGAGAATATAATGACCGAAGATTGGATTGGATACAGTCCGGTCTTGACCCGGTCCGGTCCCAATTCGGTCTTGATTTTATATTGAGATTGTGGGAATTTGAGTGGCCTAAGGCCTAAAAGGGTGAGGAGTTGGTTAAGTTTTGTACTAAGTGTAAAGGTTTGTGACCGTTTATGCAAATTACCCTTAAGTTTTGGGTGTTGAGCTCTCTTATCCGGTCTTTATCCGGTTTTTTACCTCAAATCTAAGCCCAAAGATTGGATTGGATTGTTTACTATCCGGTCCCGGTCCGGTCTCGGTCCTGGTTATACGGTCCGGTTTCCGGTTTTTCATCCGGTCCCGGTCCAAATAGCCAGCCCTAGTAGAAATCATGGTCCATTAAATCGTACCGTACAAGTAGTTCAACCACAAAATACCAGTATCAGAGGCTAAACCGATAGGCGATATTTAACGGTATTAACGGTTGAACTACGGTTCAATCACAGTTTTGCCATAAAATACCCTACCGCTAACTTTTCCGATACGGTCTCCGGTACGGTTTCTTGAACCATGGTAGAAATTGCTCGACTGAAAGCTGTTGTCTTTTGCTTTATCCCTACAGCAGTTCAGGTCATCCCGCATCTTCGAGGTCTATCTTCATACCTCGTCATTAATGTTGCCTTCATGTATCTGCCGACTAACCCAACTGCATACGTAATATAAGGTACGATACAAATTAGATATCTCAGACTTTCCAATATACTTTAAAACCCCGTTGAGTTTACCTTCTTTCCTTTATCATCCTTGGATAACTTGAGTCCACATTGAATTGATGTGCTTATTACCGGATTACAATTCACAAATTTAAACTTCTTCAAAACATCCTTGAAAAAATCACTTTAATTCTCAATTGAAAATACATTCATCCTGCATTCATCCTTTGTCATACTTTAATTCCAAGACAATATTGACATCAGTCAGATGTCAATCATCTCGAATTCACGAACCATTACCTCTTTTTAACTCTTCAAACATTCGAGGAGAGCGGTTGAAAGAGTTTGTGAGATCTTAGAATTGATTAGTGGAAGTCTCGGAAATCTGAGAATTCTTCAGTAATTTTAGTAAATCTCTGGAAAAAGTCATCTCCCTTGGATACGGGCAGGCTATGCTCTAGCAAATTGTACTGAATACAGGCGTTATGAATAAATAGTTATGCCGTCTTACAAAGAACGTCATACGCAAGGCTAAATATAGTTAATTTAATGAGCTACGCGGCATAGGATTGAATCAAGTATGTCGTACGTAGTAAGTCCCTACAGGTATAGCAAACATATTAAAAATATCTTCACTGCATAGAGGTGGATTAAATTGATTAGAAACAACAATTAATTTGGATAAGATAGGTAGCAAATTAGGGAATTACTATTTATCGCCCTAAATATTTAAATTTATCCGTCCTAAACTAACCATACGGACGATTATGCCCCGACTTAACCCTTCTGTCGTCTCTTTTCACATCGCACACACAGCGCCGCCGCCGCCCTCCAAACCACCGTCGCCCTAAAAACCAGCGCCACCGTCACCCTCAAACCAGCGCCACCGTGAGAAGGAAGAAGAAGCCCTGCCGCTCGTCGTCGTCGCGCCCGAGGAAGAAGGTCGCATCGAGGGCAGTAATATGCTTTGATTTTTTTGTTATTTGTTTAACGGTAACAACGCAGGTTAAAACCCATCGCCGACAGGGTAGAAACGTGTCGGAGATCCGCCTCTACCCCGCCGGCGATGGTTTTCAACCCGCGACGTCGACGTAAGGAGCAGGGGAGGGGCACTTGAATGGTTCCAAAACAGTGGACGATGAAAATGGTGATTATTGAATGGTTGTGGAATTAGTAATTTTGTTAATTAATTTTCAGTCTTGTACTCTTGTTGTTGAATTGGCCAAGCTGATGCTGCGGGAGGACAGAAGGCGGAGGGAAGAACGGAGACATGGCGGCGTTGTTGCGGGAGGAAGGGCGCTCAGCGAGTGAATTATTAATTAAAATGAGGATATTTAAGTAATATTAGATGTTTTAGGGCGGAGAAATTCAAATACTTAGGGCGTTAAATAGGAATTCAGGCAAATTATGGTGTTTTTCTCGGACGTTTTTCCCCCTCTTTTTTCTACTCGAGTTTGGTTCGTCTAGGAGTGTGATTTGGAATCCCTGTATAATGTGCGCCGGTCAATTAATTGATATTCAAAAAGAGTTTTGTGTATTGGCAACTCTTTCCACGTCCGTCCCCAAAGAACAAAGTGGCAAGAGCGTCACGCTGATCGGTTTCCCGTCAAACCGCAACACTACACATTAGGGGTGGGCATTGGGTGGGTCGGGTGAATTTTGACCATAAAATGCACCCACCCGTGCTTAAACGGATTGATAATTTTCAACCCACCACCCACCCACATTTAGTCTCGGGTTGGGTTGGGCGGATGGTGGATGATGCGGGTGGGTTTGTGGGTTCACCCACATCACAATGTATATAATATAAAGGAGTCAACTTGACATGATAATAGGTGAAGAGAATCATCGAAGGAAACAAGAAGTTGAAAGAGTTTTCTACAGATTGAGACGATTATTAGGTGCAAGGAAGTAAGGAAAATTATTCCACAAAGGAAAGAGCGGTGATCTAGGCACAAGAATTAGAGGAAAAAGTAAAGGGAAGAAGAGGAGATCTCTATTTGGAAGGTTGGCTTTGAGGTTCAAACTCCAGAAGCAGTCCGACGTTATATCTAACGTCTCCACTCTCCTCTCTCTAGCGCCAACGACTTTGATCTTTTTGCTGTTGGGTTGAGCGGGTCACCCGCACACTCACCCACAACCCACCCACCACCCGGCGGATGGCTCCCAGCACAACCCGTCACCCACCCACAGACCCACCCACTTAACAAAATTCGGGTCAAATGCGGGTGGGTCGGCCCAAACCCGCGGATGATCCGCCCGCATGCCCAGCCCTACTACACATCCAAGGCGACGAAACTTTAATTAAGGACCTTTGACCAAAGCGGCAGAGGAAACTACCCCTCCTCCGTTTAATGCATAAGAAACTATGTTTCCAAAATCGGATCGAAAGTTTATGGTTCAATGATTAATCGTTACAGAACTGTAAGTAAAGTTAGCCATTAACAGATCCGTTCATGAGTTATAATATAAAAGACATATCTAATACACTAATTTATCAGTAATCATCAAATTCATATCATCTATAATAAAAACTTCTAACAAACCGTTCAAACTATCTCACAAATAATGCAACAGAACGCATGCAAAACGACGAGAAGGCCCTAAGAAGTAAAGCGCGCGGCAGAGGGAACTAAATAACCCTCTTTTATTGACCATATATAAGAGCACTAGCAGAATATTACTCGCAGGGTAACGATACACACATTATAAAATGGCCGTGCACAAAAACTTACTAGCGGCGTTTGTTTTAGTGACGGCAATAGTAGCCATGGCGCGTCCATCGATTCAGCGGTCCGTTCGGATTACCAATCGGTTAAGCAGCAAAATACTGATAGTGCATTGTGCATCAAAAGACGACGATCTTGGCGCCCACGCCGTGGCTATTGGTGCCACGTTCGAGTGGAGCTTCGAGCCGAAACCGGTCTGGGGAGGGACGCTGTTCTGGTGCCATTTAGCGACGGAAGATAAGCGTCTTTCTTTCGTAGCGTACGAACAAGGTAAGTTGAACCGGTACAGTTACTGGGTTGTCCATGACGACGGGGTTTATGGGGAGCAAGTAGCCATCACTACTGAACTTTTGGTGCGACCGTGGAGGCGAATTTTGCTTGATGGATTTTGACGGTCCGGTGCTTACTCCTACTTCGGACATTTTTGTAAGTCTTGTTGTCTTTTCAATTTAGAAAGAAATTTTTGTTACAGACCTGTAAAGTCCGACTCTCATGAATACCTTATAATTAAGATTATGAGAGCGGATTTTTTTTTTTTTTTTTTTTTGTATAATGGTGGAAATTTTATCGAGAAATCAACTAAAGAAAGAACAATTTCAACACCACCAAGGAGACCAAATTGAAAACCAACAGAAACATAAGGTGCGTTTGGATAAGTGGATTTTAAATGTAAGGTATTTGAAATATTAGCATTTGAAATGGATGTATTCGAAATATTAGCATTTGAAATACATGTAATTCAAATTCATTGTTTGGATACTCATTTGTAATTTGTTTGTATTTTCTATTTTATGATTTACTACAAATTTTGGTAAATTACAGTTTGGTACCCAAAATTATTTTTTCTTACAATTTAGTACCTAAACTTTTAAAATTTTACAAAAAGGTCCTAAAATTTTGATGGTAAAATTATATTTTGGTACCTTTATATGTTTTGCCTCACACTATAGTACCTAAACTTTTCATATTTTACAAATAGGTCCATTCTTTTGTTAGGAGGTATTTCAAATCACTAGTTGTTGAAATGTATTTGAAGTTGACAAAAAATACACTAGACATGTATTTGGAAATCACCCCATGAATTTGACACAAATCCAAATACCAAATGTAATTAATATCCAAACACATGATCTGGTATTTGGAAATCCAAATCACAAATATCAAATCCAAATCATTGTATCCAAACGCACCCATATAGAAAAAGGTCAGCCCAATCAGCACAATATCATATAGTATAACACTCCAAACGAACAGAAGATAGAGTATTTACTTGTCTTGAGCCAGATTCAGGGCCCGGAAATCTAGCAAGTCGAACTCGAATAGAGCTCGAGTCAAACATAGGACAAGATTCCAGTAAAACGAGTTGAATTCGACATCGACCCGTTTATTAACGAGCTGAATATGAACTAGGTCAAAATATATTCGTTCGATTTATTTGGAGCTGAATCCTCAGCGTTTCGATTGATAAAAAATGCAGCATAAAAACGCATCAACTAACAGCGTTTTGTTCCAACGAAAATCCGCTGCGTTTTATGGAGTTTTGTGTGTAAAACGTTTCTCTTTTTTTTTTGGGTAGAAATGTAAAACGTTTCTAGTGGAAGCGTTTTATATAAAAAGCTTCTTATCACGGCGTTTTAACTTTTAAGTAAAGCGCTGCCACTTGAGGCGTTTTGTTAAGCAAAACACTTCCAATACCAGCGTTTTATGCCAAAGTCAGGCATTTCAGAAAATAAACCACAATCTTGGGTATTTGAGAAATATAATTTCGTACGTAGAGCAATTCGGGAAAAAATCCACAGAATTCTGGACAATTTATAACTTGATTTCATTAATAAAAGCCTAGGTTAGTATTATTTATACAAAAGTGATACATAAATTTTGAGCGTGACACAAAAAAACAAGAAGGCAGGATCAAGGTGAACGAATATCTCCAATCGAGTCGTAGCCTTGTGTTTCCGTCCTTATGAATTGCGAAAGGAGAAACATTTGGTATCTCTAAGTGGCCGGCGGCAACGGAGTTAGCGTACAAGAGTCCGTAACCAAAGGACAAAGCAGCTGAGAGTTGCCGATCGGTAACATAACATCAGCAAAATTAAACGACAAAATCATAATGAGCATAGAGGCAGAGGACGCCATCCCTCCTTTGTTCCATTCAATAAAATGCATATAAGGTTGATAACTTGATATCATGACCCATCAGCATCAATGCACTATAAATAAAAGGAGTGAATAGTAGCCAAAAATATTTATCACAATAATGGTTGTCCACGAAAAGTTGCTATTCGCGGCGTTTTCGTTGGCAACGGTGGCCGTAGTAGCTTTAGCGACCGATCAGCCTGATAATTCACCGACAAGTTGACGGTTCATGTTATCAACAACGTAAGCCACAAAATGCTGATAGTGCATTGCCGATCCAAAGACGACGATCTCGGTGCCCACGGACTCGAGATCGACGCCGGCTTCAGCTGGAGTTTCCAGGCAATGGTCAGTACCCTTTTCTGGTGCAATCTCGCGGTTGAAGATAAGCGGGTTTCTTTCCAAGCATTCGTGAATGGCAAAACATATGTAGCATACTTGGATGTCCGCGATTCTGGGGTTTACGACGGGGACAATCTCTTTGCTGCATGGAGGCGAATTTGATATGGTATTTCAATCTATAATAAATTGAAAAAAACACAATGTTGCCCTATGTTGCTGAAAGGGAAAAGAGAAAGAAAGAAAGAACTTCTGCTGTGAAAAAAGAAATTAAGAGGTCCCCCAATGAGGATGCTTAATTATAGTCAGTGATGTAAAACCCATTTTCTAATTATGCTAATAATGAAATAATGTCAAGCTTATATAAAAATAGTACCGCAGGGAAATATTCAGAAAGAGATTAGAAATTGAGTAAGGATGTTTAGCGGACCTCGAGAAGAACGAACAAATTGTTTGTCTCGTTTTAGTGTAGTTTAGGGTCTTACTAAGGGTTAGTGTAGTTTAACTTTTATTACAAGAATCACTTCATAAAGAAATTACTTTGGTAACGAAACTTTGGGAAAATAAATAAGACCGTACAAAAGTAGACGGTACAGTTTGGTCCAGACTGTAAACCTTTAAAAATGGTATTCATGATCTGTATTATATGATGTTTTGATCTTTTGGATGATCTAGACCGCAGTTTAGCGGACCAAACCGTGGAGTTAGTTGACTTTCCAATACGTCTTAACAGCCCACTCGACCGTTCTCTCAACCCCCCACCCCTCAACGTGACCCAAGTCGCAATCCTAATTTTGAGAATCTCGTTCCTCCTTCATTGTCAAGCATAGTGTCCTCACGTTACAAAAATGGTTTGATTGAGTGGTTTCATGGAGATATCAGCAATCTGGTATTCTGTCTTCACATACTTACGTATCATTTTTTTTCTGCTCCACACATCATCTCAAGAAATGGTATATTGTATCAATACGTTTGCTACGATCAAGAAACATTGGATTCTTTTCTAGTACCAAGGCATACTTGTTATCCACAATTATCTAAGTTGATCGTCTTCCTATGGCATGTTTGACTCCTTCATAAACTTTCTGAGCAATATCGCATGACACACACACGATGTCGCAACAATATGCTCAGCTTCACAAGTAGATAAAGTCACAATAGCTTGTTTTTGTGATCTCCATGTGAAAGTTGTATATTTAAGAATGCATACAAATCGTGTAGTTTTTTTGCGATCATCCAAGTCTCCTGCTCAATCACTATCGTAGTATCCAACCAATTTCTAACTTTGTTACTTCCCATATATAGAATAGACGATAGTCAGCTGTACTTTTTTTTGTAGCGCAATATTCTCTTAGCAGCATTCAGTGTGACATTGTGGGTGCGCCTTCATGTATCTACTGGCTAACCCACAAGCATAGAGAATATATGATATGGTACAAATTAAATATCTCATACTTGAGTCCAAACTATGCTTACCAAATTACAATTTACCATTTTAAACTTATTCCTAACTCTGTGAAATGAAAATGTCTTCCTTTTAATTTACTTCAATTTTAAAATAATATGACATCAACTATTTTTCCAAGGCAAGCCCAAATTAAAGGGAATGGGACAAAGAATCGACTCAAGACTCAATAACAAGACTAATTCAGAATAACCGTGGTAGTTCGTAGGCAAACAAACTACCGATGAAAAAGCCTATTATGTACTACATGGGCAGCTCTGAAAAAGCTCTGAAGAGCAAAAGACGCAACCATGACTCAAATAATGAGAAAAAGACATTAAGAAGGCACACATGACATAAAAAGAAAACGAACTCCTCTAAGATCACTCCAGCCAGCGAATACATAGCTTCCTCAGGCAGAGCTTATTAGAAGACCATTTGTGAGTCGCCGCCACAAGTCACATAAAAATAAATGTATTAGTCTATTAGATGTCATCGCATTAACAAAGGCATCTAGGGCCCTCATCAAGTTTAGTACAAATAAATAGAATCAAACCATCACCTAATAGACCGACGTAATTTATTGCACTTCATTTTTTTATCTTCGTAACACTATGGGGTTGTTTGCTTGTTGGATTTGAAAAATGAGGGTTTTGGCCAACAAAAACCTTGGGATTTATGTTGGATTTATTGGATTATGGATTTGAAGAGTCTAATGTTTGCATGATAGATTTGATGATGGATTTGTTAAATAAATAACTAACTATCAAGGATTTGCAAATCCCAAATCAATATGTGGGATTTACAAGTCCGTGGGGTCCACGGATTTGGTTCCAAAATAAAGACCAAATCCGTGGACCCCGCGGATTTAGCACCCTTCAACAAACAATGGACTTATGTTAAATCCATCAAGCTTGGGATTTGGGTACCAAATCCATGACCCAAATCCAACAAACAAACGACCCCTATAATACATTAATACCTCTGCAAAGTGGTAAGCCAAAATGGCAACCACTACGGTACTAAAAATCTATATATCACAGAGATTATAACTTACCCTTGGAAATTATTCGGAATTACCAAATCTGCAACACCGCGAAAAGTGTGATTTATCTCACGTAAAGGAATTTATTTTACATAATAAAGAATATGAAAATTTAATTAAATAATGGAAAGTGAAGTATATAACAATGAAGCAAAATTTAATTAAAAATAGGGTTAACAACATTTTCTATCGGTCTATTATCGCAAATTAACAAATATACACCTGTACTAAATTTTTGCACAAACATACCTCTATAATATGAAAACATAACGAATATACGACTCTTCCATCTGATTTTCTAAGATTTCCTACCTAGTAGGTACAATATGACTGTTCATCTCATAGAATAACAATCTCTTTCGGCTTCGAATTGCACACTCTTGTTAACCAACATCTTTTTTTCTTCTTCCGTCTTGTGACCTGACTTGCAAAATTCTCGTATATTATGATATCTTAGATGTTTCCCCGGTCTTCCCACCCATTTCCCCGAAGCAAGAGGGTCTTGCCGATTGGTTTCCCTTCAAATGGCAACATAACACCGGCAAAACGACGAAATGACCTACGTATCAAAGCGGCAGAGGGAACTACCCCTCCTTTATTGAAAATAGAAAAGATCCATTATCTCAAACTCATCCCCACTGCAATAAATAGTAGAACAAGCAATTAGCGCCAAAGATTGCTCGCACGGAACGATAATACAGCATAATGGCTGTCCGCAAAAAATTACTAGCGGCGGTTGCTTTAGCGACGATCCTGATAGTGCTGGCGGATCCCTCGATCCAGCGGTTTGTTCGGGTTACCAATCAGTTGAGCGGAAAATTACTGATCGTGCTGTTGGATTGTGAACTGAAGACTGGAATCCTTGTCCTTCTCGGATTTGGATTAGTTGCTGTGATGTCGTTTTGGTGCTGGACTAAAAGACTGCTACTGCTGTTAGTTGCTGCGACGTCGGTTTGGAGTCAAGTCTGTGAATAAAGCCAAGCTGTGCGTTTTGGCTAAGTGTCCATTTAGTACTTATTGTTTTAAGTCTGGGTCGAACAGTCTGTTTGGTTTGTTAAGAGTCTTAGCAGTTAGCATTGATCATGTTAGCTGATTAGTAGGAAACTATTAGTAGTGGGAGGTGGTTTGGCCGATCTCTGTGGCTTAAACCTCAAGTATTTAAGCTTTGCATCGTCATTAATAAGAAACTGTCAGTTTGCAATACATTTGTGTTCTACATTGTGGTATCAGAGCACTTACAGCAAACTGTAACCAGGAGAAGAGAGGAGTGTTGAGTGAAAAACATGTTGTGATCTGGGTTAGGGAAACACGAGAGTTGCTTGTGAGGAAAGACAGATCAGGGTAAGTGAAAAAGGCATCATGAGTGATAATGGCAGTGCTCAAGTTTGTATCCCAAAGTTTGATGGGGATTATGAGCACTGGACCTTGGTAATGGAGAACTTGCTCAGGTCCAAAGAGTACTGGACTGTGATCAGTCCTGGTTTCAGGGAGCCTGCAGCAGGAGAGGTGTTAACAGCAGCCCAAACAAAGAGTCTGGAGGAGTTGAGGCTGAAAGATCTAAAAGCAAAGAACTACCTGTTCAGCAGCATTGACAGAACACTACTGAAGACCATTGCCAAGAAGGGTACTGCAAGAGAACTGTGGGAGTCCATGAAAGAGAAGTTTCAGGGCAGTGCAAGGGTTCAAAAAGCTCAGTTACAGGTACTCAGAAGGAATTTTGAACTGCTTGAAATGAAAGAGGATGAATCAGTGTCTGAGTACTTTGCTAGGGTGATGATTGTTGCTAACACTATGAGAAACTGTGGAGAGGATATGTCTGATGGGAAGGTTGTTGAAAAAATTCTTAGAACCTTGACTGACAAATTCAACTATGTAGTTTGTTCTATAGAAGAGTCAAAAGACATAGAACTCTTGACAGTTGATGCACTCCAAAGTTCTCTTCTGGTGCATGAACAAAAGTTCAACAGAAGGTCTGCAAAAACTGCTGGTGAAGAAGAACATGCTTTAAGAATCTCTCATGAGTATGGAAGAGGTGGCAGAGGTCAGGGAAGAGGCTTTTACCAGGGCAGAGGTGGTAGAGGAAGAGGAGGCAGAGGCTGGAATAAGGAATCTGTTGAGTGCTTCAAATGTCATAAATTGGGACATTTCAAATATGAGTGCCCTGAATGGTATTCCAATCAACAGGCACATTATGCAGCCTCTGGTAGCTTTCAAGATAAGAGTTATGGAGACATGAATGAGGACATGCTGTTAATGGCCTGTGTAGATTCTGAAGACTCAATTGAGTGGGAAGAGGATACACAAGGATTGATGGCTCTTCTGGATTCTGTCAAAGAGAAGTCAAACAGTGATTGGTGGTTTCTGGATTCTGGCTGCAGCAACCACATGAGTGGTGAAAGAAAGTGGTTTACTAGCATAGATACTAGTTTTGCTTGTACAGTAAGGCTGGGAAATAATTCCAAGTTAGAAGTTGCTGGGAAAGGAGAAGTGAAGATGCAAGTGAATCAAAAGAGTATAACAATCCAGGAGGTATTCTATGTTCCTGGACTCAAGAGCAATCTATTGAGTATTGGTCAATGGCAGGAGAAAGGGCTAACTTTTGTGATCAAAGAAGGCAGTTGCAAGATTTATCATGCAGAAAAGGGTCTGTTGTTGCAGACTGAAATGAAAACAAACAGGATGTTTGTTCTTCATGCTGATCATACACCTGCAAGTCAGTTATCCCAATGTCTCAAAACTGATGTTGCCATAGATCCAACCCTCACACTATGGCATCGCAGATTTGGTCACTTGGGAGTAGCAAACTTGCAGCTTCTGCAAACAAAGAAGCTGGTGAAGGATCTGCCAAAGTTGAAAGGAGGGATTGGAGTTTGTGAAACCTGCATGATTGGCAAGCAACATCGAAAACCCTTTCCTAAGAAAAGTCAATGGAGAGCAACTGAAGCACTGCAGCTAGTACATGCAGACCTCTGTGGTCCCATCACTCCAGTATCAAATGGAGGAAAGAGGTACATACTCACTTTGATTGATGATTACAGCAGGAAAATGTGGGTGGTTTTCTTGGCAGCTAAGTCAGATACCTTGGAAAGTTTCAAAAAATATAAGCTGCAAGTTGAGAAGGAAATGAAGTTGGAAGTTAAGTGCCTAAGAACTGATAGGGGTGGTGAGTTTATGCTGAATGAACTCAAGCAGCTCTGTGAGGAAGCTGGAATAAAGAGGCAACTCACTGCTGCCTTCACTCCTCAGCAAAATGGAGTAGCAGAAAGAAGGAACAGGACTTTGATGAACATGGTTCGATGCATGTTGAAGGACATGAGGGTTCCATCTGAATTCTGGGCTGAAGCTGTAGCCTGGACTTGTCATGTGCTAAACAGAAGTCCCACTACAGCAAATCAAGGAAAAACCCCTCAAGAGCTCTGGACTGGTAAGCCTCCTTCTGTGTCTCACTTTAAGATCTTTGGTTGTGTTGCATATGCTCACATACCAGATCAACACAGGAGGAAGCTTGATGATAAGAGTGTGAAATGCCAGTTTCTAGGAATTTCTGTTGAGTCCAAGGCCTATAAATTGTTTAATCCTAGAACTAATGCTGTGGTAGTGAGTAGAGATGTTGTGTTTGATGAAACAAAAGGCTGGAGTTGGAATTTAGACACACCACCAGAGCAAACCAAGTTGGTTTGGGAAGGAAGTGATGAGGATTGGGAAGATTCAGATGCAGAAGAGGAATCTGATCAAGCAGCAGATTCAGATCCTGATCCTGCTGGAACTCAACAACCTGGTAGTCCAAAAACACCAAATCCAGAGATGAGTGACAAGGAAGCAGAAGGGGAGGATCATGGTACAACAACTGATGTGCTGGAACATGCCAGTACCAAAAGGATCAGAAAGCCACCAGCCAAACTGGCAAGCTATGACTGGCAAACTCACTTCACTGTGCCAGATGACAAACTAGCAGAAGAAGATTGGATGGCCTTTGTGGCCCTAGCTGATGATCCACAATCTTATGAGGAAGCCTGCAAGGATCCTAGATGGGAAGAAGCAATGAAGGCTGAAATGCAGTCAATAAAGAAGAATCTTACCTGGGAACTCACTGATCTGCCAGCAGGCTGTCAAGCAATAGGACTCAAGTGGGTTTACAGGACCAAACTTAAAGAAGATGGTACCCTAGACAAGTTCAAAGCTCGTTTAGTGGTGAAAGGATATGCACAGAAAGAGGGAATTGACTACACTGAGGTGTTTGCCCCAGTAGCCAGGTGGGATACCATCAGGACTCTTCTGGCCTTATCAGCTCATTTTGGATTAACAGTGCACCAGCTGGATGTGAAGAGTGCTTTCCTGCATGGAGAGCTTACAGAAGAGATCTATGTTGAGCAACCTCAAGGCTTTGAGGTTGCTGGGGAGGAAAAGAAAGTATACAGGCTGCATAAAGCTCTGTATGGCCTCAAGCAGGCACCAAGAGCTTGGTACAGCAGGATTGAAGCATACTTTGAGAAGACTGGTTTCAAGAAGTGCAACTATGAACATACATTGTTCATTAAGAGGTCAGGATCTGATATTCTCATTCTCAGTCTCTATGTGGATGATTTGATGTATGCAAGTAACAGTCCAGTAATGATTGAGAACTTCAAGTCATCTATGCAAGCTGAATTTGAGATGACAGATCTAGGCAGAATGAGATACTTTCTTGGTGTGGAGGTGCTTCAGAAGGATGAAGGGATATTTATCTGTCAAACAAAGTACATAAAGGAGCTTCTGGAGAAATTTAAGCTGCTGGAGTGCAACTATGCACTCAATCCTCTAGCACCAGGGTTGAAATTAACAAAAACTGGAGATGGAGTTGCTGTCAATCCCACTGAATACAAGAGACTGATAGGAAGCTTGCTGTATGTCACAGCAACGAGGCCAGATATAATGTATTCTGTATGTCTGTTGAGCAGGTACATGGACTCACCTACCAGGCAGCATTTCTTGGCAGCAAAAAGGGTACTTAGGTACCTAAAAGGCACTATGAATCATGGAATTTGGTACAGAAGGAGCAGAGGGGAGGAGGATGAAAGTCTGATTGGTTACACAGACTCAGATTATGCAGGAGACTGTGATGATAGAAAAAGTACCTCTGGCTATGTTTTCTTTCTTGCAGGAGCAGCAGTGTCATGGGCTTCCAAGAAGCAACCAGTTGTAACTCTCTCAACAACTGAGGCTGAGTTTGTTGCAGCCTGTTTTTGTGCCACACAATGCATTTGGATGAGGAGGATTCTAGCAGAAATGGGATGGAACAGCAGTATACATGCTGGAACAGTCATCTTGTGTGACAACAACTCCACCATCAAACTGGCCAAAAATCCAGTTCTGCATGGGAGGAGCAAACACATAGATGTTCGGTTTCATTTCCTAAGAGAGCTGGTAAAAGAAGGAGTAATGGAGCTTGAACACTGCAGAACCCATGAGCAGATTGCAGACTTGATGACTAAGCCACTCAAGCTTGAAACCTTTCAGATTCTGAGGAGCAAATTGGGAGTATATGATGTGGAAGATCTAAAGCTGAAGGAGTGAACAGAAGAAGAGCAAAACCAGTTTCAGTTCAGGGGAGGACTTGTTGGATTGTGAACTGAAGACTGGAATCCTTGTCCTTCTCGGATTTGGATTAGTTGCTGTGATGTCGTTTTGGTGCTGGACTAAAAGACTGCTACTGCTGTTAGTTGCTGCGACGTCGGTTTGGAGTCAAGTCTGTGAATAAAGCCAAGCTGTGCGTTTTGGCTAAGTGTCCATTTAGTACTTATTGTTTTAAGTCTGGGTCGAACAGTCTGTTTGGTTTGTTAAGAGTCTTAGCAGTTAGCATTGATCATGTTAGCTGATTAGTAGGAAACTATTAGTAGTGGGAGGTGGTTTGGCCGATCTCTGTGGCTTAAACCTCAAGTATTTAAGCTTTGCATCGTCATTAATAAGAAACTGTCAGTTTGCAATACATTTGTGTTCTACACGTGCATTGTGCATCGAAAGACGACGATCTGGGCGCCCACGTCGTCGCGATTAACGCCACATTCGGGTGGAATTTCATGCCGAATGAGGTTTGGGGAGGGACGTTGTTCTGGTGCAATCTCGCGGTAGAAGATAAGCGTCTTTCTTTCGTAGCGTATGATCAAAGTACGTTCAACCGGTATAGTTACTGGGTTGTCCATGATAATGGGCTTTATGGACAAGTAGCCAGCACTGAACGTTTTATTCGTGTGTGGAGACGAATTTGGCTACCTTAGGGTTAATGAATTTTGCCAGTCCTCTGGTGCTTACTGCTATTATACTTCCGAAATTTTTTGTAAGTCTTATTGTCTTTTCAATTTAGGAGGATAATTTGGTGCAGACCTGTAAAATCCGGCTCTCATGAATACCTGATAGGTAAGGTCATGAGCGCAATTTTTTTTTTTGGTATAACGGTGAATGATTTATTGAGAAAACCAACTAGCTGAATTATGACATGGTATCAGAACTGGTTTATGACATGATGTTAGAGCCTTCTGTGTGGCCGAGAAGTCTTGTATTCAAATCTCGGTGACTTCGTTTGTGAAGCACTTGGTATTCTCGTATTCAAGACCTGTACAAACGCAAATCCTTATGAGTGGACTGACTTTCGTTTGAGAGGGGGTGTGTGTTAGTGAGCGGTATAAGATTCATTATGGAACCTCTCCCAACAACTTATTGATACCAACTGGTTCCTGGGATGGTATCATAGCCTCTGCTCGTTCCTCTTGAACGATGGTGGGGCAAACCTCAATAAGGATGTTGAGTCCCAATGATTAAGGAGGGGTGTATGTAATGATTAAGGAGGGGTGTATGTAACACCTTAGGCAAATTTTACATCGACAAAGCGCAGAAGAGATACATGATTCATAAGTAGGAAACCGACCTTAACTCACAAGACTCGTTTTGGGGTGAAATGGAGGAGTTCTTGTAAGAACTCCGAAATTAAACATGTTTAGTGTGGAGTATATAACAAGGATGGCTGATCTATGAGAAGTCACATTAAATTCCACTCCAAGTCAAAATCCGTAAAGATCAAAATCTAAAGCAAAGAAAATATTCGTCGGAAAAAGATTCGTGATGTTACAGAAAAATCCCAACACCATCACATGATCCCAGAAAAAAGGTGACCAGTCAAACAACAACAGACAACAAGACAAAAGTAAAAGTAGTCAACCAACAGAAACATATAGAAAAAGGTCAGCCCAATCATCACAATATCCTGTATCAACACTCCAAACACGCTGTAAGATTTAGTATCTAGTAGTCTTGAGTCAGATTCACGGCCCGAAATTCTCGAAATAATGTGAGCCACACTCTGCCATTTTTGTTGCTTATCTGGTCCTGTGCAAAACCCAATTTAGAAGTTAGTGAAGAAATCAAGAATCTGAACAAATGAGGGTTAACTTGAATTGTAGTATTTAGAGAAGGAAGTTAAAAGCCTTACTAACATTTTTACTTACAAAATTTGTACAAATTCTACTTGTACTTGTACCTATATTTCATAATTGAAGGGGATAGAGTTACAACTCATCCTAGTTTCAACCTATCTCCATCATTGTCAGAAGAGTCCGTTCAATCTTTTGCGGTACAACGTCCATCCAACACAATAATAACGTGTTTTTATAAAAAAAAAAATATTAGAAGAAATTCAGGAGAGCGGATCTGGTGACTAAGGGGGGGTGCTTAGTCACTTGACTAAGCCCCTCCCAGCCCTTAGATTTGGACACTTCAATCTAATGGTTAAAAAGTGGGAAGGGCTATTTAATTAATGACAGGGGTAGTTTGGGTATTATGGAAAATTACGAAGTATACAAACCGGATTTACAATCAGTACAAACCATACAAACATACGAACAGTACAAACTAGAGCGACAAAACATACAAACAGATTTACAAACATTACAAACGTATGAACTGTACAAACAATACAAACTAGACCGACAAACAATACAAACCATACAAAAAGAAAAAACAACCGGGTTGACTTTTGAGGCTCCATCCCTATATAGAGGGGCTCCTTCCCAAAGTCAACCCGGGTGTTTTTTAGACATACAAACAGTACGAACATGGTGGACAAAAATGACAAACTAGACCGACAATCCATACGAACGGGAAAAAACACCCGGGTTGACTTTGGAGGCTCCATCCCTATATAGAGGGGCTCCTTCCCAAAGTCAACCCGTGTGTTTTTTAGACATAAAAAACATTACGAACATGGTGCACAAAAATGACAAAGTTTACAAACATGGTGCACAAAAATAACAAAGTTTACAAACATTACAAAAAAAACCGACAAACATTACAAAATAACAAGGGCTAATACCACTAGAAATACCAACCTTTAGCGAAAGTGCCATTTATATTATGAAATTTTCGATATGACAATTGTATACCAACCGTTAAGTTTTCCATTGGGGGTTAACAGAAAATACAGTCAACAATGACATGGCAGCTGACGTGGAAATTTTTAATAAAAAAAATGTAAAAAAAAAAAAAAATCAAAGCTCGTCCACACCGTACCCTACCTCACCGCTCAGCCTCTCCCTCTCTCTCACATCTTCAAGCCGCCGCCTTCACCCAGCTTCAACGTCGCCGCCGCCATAGCCATCGTCAACTCTCGCAGATTGGGGTTTCGATGCAACCACTTCTCAAACTTCATCACCTCGAGGTAAGGCGGCGGGTTCGAGTCATTGAAGAACTGCTCCACCGGGTTGAACTTTTCCTCCGACTCGTTCCTCAAATACAGCCTCCAGGCCAACCGCCACAACGAGGTCTTCTCCAACTACGCCACTGATGGCAACGTCGCCAACCCCAGCTTCGGAACGGCTCCAGATCTATCGCCGACAATTTCAAGAAATACCAAAACTAAGTCAACGTGCCTGGTCTCCGCTTCACCACCTGCGACTCTGTCAGCAACGACCACAAGCTCGGTTTCTCCAGCTACAGCGACAACACCAATGCTTGCTCCCAGTCCTTCACCAGCAACGCCAACACCCCAGATGCTTACAACAACTATTCTAAAATCCACGCACAACTGTGAATCGATTCACAATTTGGATTCAAAATTGTGTTTCAGAGACAATTGATTGGGTCTTTCGAATTCGGCTAAGAAGGAAGCAAAATTGATTGTTGGGAAGAAGAATAAGTCAAGGCGGCTACTTCATTCTTCTTCAAGAACCCAGAATCATCTACCTCAGGAATCCAAAAAACGATGATGGTGGAACTACGGGGATCTCGTTTGCTTGGATTTGTGGGGAGCACCAGAAACTCTCGTGATTTCGTCAAGCCAAGAGAAGCGACCAGGGGCATTCTTTGTCGAATGAAGCCTACAACTGACGAATAACCCTCACAATTGGGACTGCTACTCTGCTCCAGATCGCCGTCGGCTGTGTCGAATGGTGGAGGGGAGGAGGGTTTGTCGCATTGGGTGGGTTAATTTAAGGGAGGAGCTTCCTCTATAGTGGTCGTCGGCGACTGTGGGGAGGGAGGGAGAGAGAGAGAAAGAAAGAAAGAGAGGGAGGGAAAAAGAGCTGATGTGGCACTTAGGTGGATGATAAATGGTGCCATGTCATTAAGAGTCAAACATGTTTTGACATCTGTTAGGTCAACCGTCAATTCTAACGGTCAACCAAAAATATGCGTAATACAAATGACACAAATACCTAATTGGTTGGAATATTTTTGTGTTTATTGAAGTTACGTATTATAAATGGCACTTTCGTTAAAGGTTGGTATTTCCAGTGGTATTAGCCCAAATAACAAAGCATACAAACATTACAAAATATGTCAACAAACATCACAAAATTAGCACTGTCGCCGGGAAATTCTTCTCCGGCGACGATGTTCGTCGGAAAAAATTTTCCGACCAAAAAAACTCTCTCTCTCTCCACTAAATTGGGGAAAAGGTTGGGGAAAAGTCCCCTGGTATATTCCCAGGCGAAAGCCCACCAATTTGGGAAGCAACCGGAGCTGGGCAACGGCGGCAGGGAGGAACGCCGGAGAAAATTCCGGACAGCAGGGAGATACGTAGCAGCTGCATTTTTTTATTTCAATTTCCAAATAAATAAATTGTATTATTACTAGCATGCCCTTCATTAAACTAGATAAATCTGAACCATTAAATTTTAATGAGGTTCAATGGTTGAGATTGGCTTAGTCATGTGACTAAGGGACCCCCCTTAGTCACCTGATCTTAGCCCGAAATTCAGTGATTTTATGATATGCTTTCTGTTTATAATTCATCCGTTCGCCCAGCAGTAGACAAGTTCTCACACTCTTTTTCTCCTTTTTCTAACACGTCTTTCTCTGTGTTGTGGCCGGCAAGATATAAGAAATTAAAACGGAGGATTTAAGGTGCTAATTTGATAAGGCTTACCATACTAACACTACAAGCAAACCGACAAACGGCACCGATTCACTACCAGCGGTTCTAGTAACCCTTGCCACAGTTTTATGATCTTCATGTAGCAGCAGTCATATCCAGCGGTTAGGAAAACCGCTGAAGATATTTCTTTACTTTTTTTAGTGAAAAGCATTTAAAGATTTTTAATTAAATTAAAATTAAAATTAAAATTTCAACATAAAAGAAAGTGGTTTCGTCTTTTACTCCACTCTGTTCTCGCGAAACTAAATCCCTAACCCTAGCAACCATGCCTCAAAATCTTCCGTCTCCTTCGATTTCTCCACCAGCTTCGACGATATGTCCGCCACCTCTACGGTCGTCAGCAGCAGCGCTACCTTCGATTGTGGGGTTGTGGAGTCCAATTTTCGTCGTCGCCTCTATTAATATGATGTTTCTCACACTTCGACTCTGTTTCTCTTACTCTGCTATTCGTCTCAATTCATGCCCCAATCAACGGTTTTCTCCGTCTCTAAAGGTGAAAAAACCCCCTGCTATAGATGCCTTATTTTGTAGTGTAAGTTGCTAACTATTCTAATTATCATCTATTCTTTTTAAGTTCAATATGACGTGAAAAGTAGTGAAGGACTTATTTGGTAAGATTAATGAAGTTGAACATGAAATTCTTTTACGAGCTCTAACTCATCGTAGCTCTCTTTCTCCAAACTACACGTAGCTCCGTTACTGAACATTCATTGATTGCAAAACCCAAAAGTACTAGTCGTCTCGTCATGTGCCTGACCGACCACGTGCACACTGCCGACGAAATTAATGATTTTGTGTACGTAAGTACAATTTGCACAAACTTTAAGAGAATTGTGAACAACTTAAGAGAAAATAAGAACCAGAGATCGAGATACATGAACAGAGCACTACTACTATGCTATAAAGTATTGGTGTTTTAATGTACAACTTAAAGTTGTATCATAATGTTAAATGTATAAGTTTAGGTTGTACCATAAAAGACTTTGTACTATTATGTTATGGTACAATTTTACAACTTAAAGTTGTACCATCACATAAAAGTACAAGTTCAAGTTGTATCATAAAAGAACTTGTACAAAAAGTATAGGTACAATATGAAGTTATACCATAACGTTAAAGGTACAATTTCAAGTTGTACCATAAAAACAAAACCTTATAGCACCAATACTATATAACATTGTAAAATTCCTTATATGAACAATGATAAATGAATATTTATCTCCCGACCGATTGAATTATCAAAGGGGAAACTTGGTATCTCTAGTAGCCGGCGGCAACGGGATTAAGCATACAAGAGTCCGTACCAAAAGGACAACGAAGCTGAGAGTTGTCGATCGGTAACAGAAAATCAGCAAAAACGACAAATAAAAATAGAGCATATAGAAGCAGAGGACACCATCCCTCCTTTCCTCTGTTCAAACAATATGTATAAAGGTTGATATCACGACCCATCATCATCAATGCACCATAAATAAAAAAGGAGTAAATAGCAGCCCAATATTTATAATCACAATGGTCATCCACAAAAATTTGCTATTCGCGACGGTTTCGTTAGCGACGGTGGTAGTAGCTTTAGCGACGACCGATCAGCCTGATAACTTCTCGGCCGACGTTATTATTCGTGTTATCAACGACTTAAGCAGCAAAATACTGATAGTGCATTGCGCATCCAAAGACGACGATCTCAGTGCCCATGGACTCGAGATCGGCGCCACCTTCAGCTGGAGATTCCAGGCAATAGTCGGTACCCTTTTCTGGTGCAACCTCGCGGTCGAAGATAAGCGGGTTTCTTTCCAAGCATTCGTGAATGGCGAACGATACGTGCCATACCTGTATGTCCGCGATTCTGGGGTTTACGACGGCGATAATCTCATTTATGCGTGGAGGCAAATTCGGTTTCCATAGGGTTTTTTTTTTTACATTTGAAAAATCCAGACAATTTGTACGTGGGATTTGGGGGGCTGAATGACTTGTTGTTGGGAATTGGATATGGTATTTCAATCTAATAAATCGAAAGATACAATATTGAATATTGTCCTCCATCTTCTTGGCTCTCCTCTGCTGGTAAACCCAGAACCTTAGGATGAATGCCAGAACACAGAACCTTAGCCAAAACCGAGCTCCAATCATCTCGCGACTATCTAATTAATTAATTAATAGCACAAGCAACTAAAAAATATGAACACTGTTCATTAAGATAATCTCGCCAACAATTTAACTGTCCATAAAGGTCATTATTCCCTGCGGCATGGTGATGGTACACTAATTTGGCATAAAAACCATTGGAGGTTAATTGCCGAAAATTTCCATTGTTTAGGCCATGCAAATATACTTTCTATTTTTGATATTTTAATGACATATGTTTTTTTCACCTCATTGTATTATTAAATCACATATCATGAAATATTTATGTAATACGGTTCTATAATAGTTACTTACATTATAAATGCATTACATAAAACTTATAGAGAGCTATATATTTCTGTTTTGGTAGAAAGATATATATTTCTTATGTATCAATTAAATTGTCCTATTATAATTGCATACATAACAAATGTATTACGAGATCACACATCATAACATATTTACGTAACACTGATCTATAATAGTTACATACATTCTAAATGCATTACGTAAAACTTATTAAGAGATAGATGTTTCTTATGTATCAATTAAACTATTCTATTAAGTAAAACTTAAGGAGAGATAGATGTTTCTTATGTATCAACTAAACAAATGTATTAGTTATGAATTACATATATCTGCTTTTCATAGAAGCTTACCACGTAAGCATTTCTGTCAAATCCACTTTAGTTATTTTTTATATTTCACATATTATGTAATATTTATGTAACATTGTTCTATAATAGTTACATACATTATAAACACATCACGCTTATATGTTAGGTATGATAAACATATATCTAAATTTCAAAGAAGATTACACATGTAATTTTTTTTTGTCACTTGATTATATTATTAGACCACGCATTACGAAATATTTACATAACATCAATTAAATTTTATATTACATCTTAATTATATGTGATATTTTATTATCATACCACACTTTACAGGACATCTATAACTACATCCTATGACAATAATGTAAATGAAATTTTTATTTATAATGTATCAATTAAATAAATATTTTGCACAAGTCTTACTAATGATTAAGATACTATAATGTAAATATTATGATGATATAATTATTTATCATATATCAACTAAATAAATATTGTACGTAAATTTTCCGTCATGATTAAGACACTATGTAAAGCATATGAATTAAATTGATAATATAATTCTTTCTTTATGAATCAAACATAAATTTTATGGTCGTTTTTAACTTAAATTTTTATATTAAAAATAATTTATTTATTTTCGTAGCGGAGCGAGGCAAAAAACTAGTTATGCTAATAATTAAATGATGGCAGTACCCTTATATAAAAAATGATACCGCAAACTCAATGTGGTCATCCTTATACGGTTTTAGTGTAGTTTTGGGTTTTACTATAGGTTATATTCTCCTTACATTGCTTCTTTTCCCCTTTCCTATATAACGGGTGCATATTTTGTGTATCACCTCAACTTTTAATACAATGATCACTTCATAACAAAATTGCTTTGGTAACGAAACATAGCTATCACATATATAGGTTCCTAAAAATATATAATTTAACCAATTCATCTATGTCGCTGACACATGGTCTGTATAATATGATGTTTCGATCTCTTAGATGTGATTTAGATCGCAGTTTATTGGACGCAAATCCCGAACTCAGTTGATTTTTCAGTACGTGTTACCAGTCCATTAGACCAATATCACAACTCTCCCGATGAGATTCACGTCTCAATCCTAATTTTGATAATCCCGTCCTCTCCTTAAGTGACAACCACATTTCACCAGAGTGTAGTGACGATCGTGTTTCAATATGACATTATTTTAATGTTTATGACGTTATGATACAAATTGAGATGCTTTAACTTTGTATCTTCGTTTTTTCCTGAGATTTAGGATATCAAATTTATTCATGTATATTGGAATTTATGTTTTAGAGAAAAAATATTTTCTTCTCCGTTAGTAATTTAATTTTTCGTGCGATTTACTTAAAAATTTATTTCTTTTTTGTTCAATATATGGTCTATATGAACCTGATTATACTGGACCATACTATAACCTCTTGTTCTAGATTGTAGAACGTATACATTGTCCAGCCTGGACATGACCTCACTAGTTCCCAGCCTAGTTGCAACCTATATATACTCATTTATTTATTTGTAAGACTGGGAATCGGTGCCATAGCGGTTAACCACACCAAAATTTGCAGTTAATCACAACCAAAATGTAGTTATTTACGCCAACCGCGATCGCACCGCAAACGGTTTGACGTTAACCCCTAACCGCAAATGCGATTAACAGTTAACCGCGTTAAATCGTGTTACTAACCATTCTTATGGTTTAAAGACATTTTGGTCTATGGTTGTACCACAGTGTCACGGTTAATCGCACTAAAATGTGATTAATCCGCAAACCGCAAAACATGCAATATTGATAACCGTAACCGAAAACTACCCTATTTTTTTCGGATTGCGGTTAACCACTAACAGCACTGTTTCGGTGCGGCTAGTAGTTTAACCGCAAAACCGCAACTGAATTCCCACCCCTATTTATTTGTTAACAATTCCCACAATGGTCATTGACGTGTTATTTCCTAACCTTCGGTGGTACTAGGGATGATAATTTGAGCCCTCCTCGCAAGGTATTATTCAACCTGACTCTGAAGGGGCGATAATACCCGACCTACAGTGACGTGGGACGGGAGCCTCAGTATCTACTTCCGACCTGTCTAGCACCACGCCATCCCATTGTTGGCTCATTTTATCTCAATATATTACATTATCAATTCATATTTTTTCTACTTTGAATTTTCTTCAACTAGTTAGACTTAATTTTTCAACTGGTTAGACTCAATTACCTATTTTATTATTGCTATTTTTATCTATAAAGTGTTTTCTCTTCGTTTTATCATAAAAAGTAACACATAGTGTTTATTTTTTTCCTTCAAATAATAACATATAATAATGGATCGACTAGCCCATCTCGTATCTCCACAAATTTTACCCGTCCCGATCCACAGTTGGTGTGGGTCGGGTATAGGTATTGAGATAAATGCCCCATTGCGGTGGTACTAACCTCTTAGACTCTGAAGTCTTGTTCAGATAGGAGGGTTAGTTAATATTCAAATGAGTTTTGTGCATTGGTAAGTCCTTCTACGGACATCCCCAAAGAAGAAAGTAGCAAGTGTTGAATTTGGCAAGTTTGCAGATTGCCTCTTTCCTGAATTGTCCCTCTCAGCCGAATCAAAGGAACCAGTCAACAGATTTGGGAGTTTCCTTGTTTACTTTCTAACGGCTAGTTCTTGCAGTATAAGTATCTCTTGATGGCTGATCATGGAGGATACCTTTTGAATAGCTTACCAGCGGTAGAGGGCTTGAGCTTGGAAATACAAAAGGGGGTTTGACACACACAGGGGTAGAGGATCTGAGTGTGTTGAGGCTGAGCAGATCAGAATTGATCTGGTTTTCGTGTTTGCTTTATTATTTTGCATTTTGTATTGTGTGCTTTTGTCATTTGATTCATCAAAAACCTAAATCTAATAAAGGCCTCCCAGACCATATTCTGGGACGTGGAAGTAAACCATTGCACTTGGGCGAACCACGTTAAAAAGATCGTGTGTCATTCTTTTCCCTGCTTCTTCTCTGCGTACAAGTTCACTGAGTTCGTCTTTCTGGATTTCACTCTGTTTCTCGCTGCTGTGTTGCAGCACTCTGTTTTCGTTGCAAGGAAAGAATTCCCTCTGCAATTCTGATACAATCGTCGCTGGGCTTATAATCAAGACTGGGCCTCTGGCCTGTTTATTGGTCTTGACTGTTATAAGACCCAACGTGGGCCTGTTTAGTTTGGCCCGAGTACATATAGCTGAATCAGATAGTGTTTGAGACACTACTTCACTTCCTCGTCCATTTCGTTCTCATTCGCTCTGATTTTTCCGCCTGAAACCCTAATTCTCTCTTCGCGATACCTCTTTCAATTGGTATCAGAGCTGCTCCTTGACGAAGCTAACTACTGCCAAGGCTTAAGATCCAATGGCATCTAGTTCCTTCGGTCATGCCGCCCTGAATCATCCCCCAATTTTCACCGGTTCTAATTACACCGCGTGGAAGAAAAGAATGAAGCAATTCATGTGGGGGATCGATGAGGAACTCTGGCTGGTCGTTCAAAATGGACCTGTAGAGATGAAGGACGAAGAGCAGTCCTTCTGGTCAGCGGAACAGAAGAAAAGTGCCCAGTTAAATCAAAGGGTCATGCATGTCTTGCAAACCGCCATGAATCCAGAAGAAGCCGATCAGGTGGAAAATTGCTCGACAGCCTGGGAAATCTGGACAACGCTGGAGAGCACTTATGAAGGTACCTCTAATATTAAAGAGTCGCGTATAGATCTTCTAGTTCATGATTATGAGGCTTTTAGTATGAGCAAGGCTGAAAGCATACACGAGATGTATTCTAGGTTCACTATTCTCATAAACAAATTGAAGGGATTAGGAAAAACTTTTCAAACAAAAGATCTTAACAGAAAGATTCTTAGATCTTTGCCGAGAGAGTGGCTTCCTAAAAGAACCGCGATAGAAGAAGCCAAGAACCTAACTACTTTGCCTATTAGTGAATTAATAGGTTCCCTGCTAAGCCATGAGCATGTTTTGAAACAAGTCAATCAGGAAGATGAAAAACGTAGTAAAAACCTAGCCTTTAAATCTAAATTTATGGATTATGATCAGGATAGTGACTTGGAAAATGATTTTGAAAAGGAGTTTGCTCTTGTTAGCAAACGTTTTCACAGAAT